TTCGACTGTCGTGCACATAATTAGTAAATGTATGGTTTACAAAGGCAACAACATAAAATAACACCCAGTTTTAAAGACAATTTGAAGAAGGAACAGATAATACAGAATACAGAAAATATTATGATGAGGCGATGGTGTGTATGCAATAGAGATTGGCAGCTAAAGCCCATAGCAGTGTTTTAGTGGGCAAATCTTTGCCCAAAATATATACTGTTTCATCTACATGATATTCAAATTCAAAAACTACAATGGATTTTTTAGAAAATTTCAAAGTGACAAAATTTCTAGTTTCATTTTGAACTCAAATATCCCGTTCTACATGGAATAAAATAAACAATTTTCGTATACAGAACCGGGTTTTTGGCATCTCAGCTTTTGAAAATATTTTTGATCTTCTGTTCGCAATCCGTCAACCATCAAATTGTTTTGATTCTTCTTATGTCGCCTGCCATTTGAATGATTTGTTTTCAATATTTATTATTAACTGCGGTTTATTTTGGAATATCTACTTGGCAGTTTCGGTATGTTGAAGTTACACTCTTTGATTTCTCTTGCGTCGGTTATTGACTCTGCCTTGCCGACGTATCGCCTTCTTCAGAGTGCTGTCAGTTTCAGATATTAGTTCCACAGCCTGCAGAAGTTTCTTTGAAAGGGTTTCTGTATGATTTTAAGCAAAAAACTCAAGGAAGCAATAAAATGTTTAGTAGATAGGGTTCTAGTTTGTTCAGATTTTTTGTCTCTTGCGAAATATTGATTTGAAATTACTCTTGTGAGATATTTTTGAATGAAAAATTACAAATTTATGTCTTTTAGAAATTTTATTTGATTCAATTAATGTTCATTAATGTAAGTGACATGGGGGACAATCTGATGATCTGATCACAAAAAACAACACACACGGTTGCCCGAAGTCTTGACGTAATCAACTGATCAATCATCTCGATCGAGTCAGTGTCAGTGCGAAAGTTTCAGCCGCCAAGACAGACGAAAGGGCATTATCGAAATAGTGATAGCCATAGGATAAGCGACGCTAATTCGAACGCTTTAGAAATAAGTCTAACGACACCGCATTCGTTAAAGCGATCCTACGAAGAAGTTTTTAAAAGTTTATAAAAGTATACAGACGTTGCTTGAAGATTATAAAAAAAAATAATAACCGAAAATTCAATTTGCAATTAACAAGAAAGATATTGTAGTATATTGTATAGCAATTATTTTTTAGTTACCACGTGATCAAAGAGCAGTGGTTCAGACCAGATAGGGTATAGATAGATCTTTTTCTATTTTAAAAGGTATCGGAAACTGCTTGTTCTGATCTCCTCAAACGATTCTAAAATACCCAAAATCGAAATTTTTAAGACGGTTCAATTGGTTATTTTTTTGGTTTTGGTTTGGGTTATCAAACATGAAAGTATACAATAATGCATAAGCTTCCTCCTGTAGGTTATCTGTATTTCTTTTTTATTAAACTGCAAGTGATAGATGGCTGTTAAAACTTTACTGTTTCAACAGAATTTCAAGCGGAACTATCGCCAACCTTGAAGTAATCAAAAAAAGGAACAATTCGTAAGATTTTGATCAAATTTTCGAGAATTTGCATTGTCCTGACCTTTTCTTATTTTAAGTAAAAAATGGTAGCAGCATATATTTTAAAACCAGCTTAGAGATCGAAAGAAGTTTTCAATATACTTACGAACAAAATAAAGACCATCATAAAATAATATAGAAATTAAATTTTACAAATTTGTGCACAAACAAGGTAGTTTTTTGAGTATGATTAGTTTTACTATTGTTGCATATAAGGAAATACCATATAATTCCTATAACAAGAGTACTTGAATTATTGTTACCTTAAATTCTAACAGAAACACTATTGAAAAGAATATAAAAATGTTTTATTGTACTTAACCGTATTAAAAGAAGAATAAGTTAATTCCCCAAAGCGAGTGGTCGATTTCTCTTAAAGTATTCCGAGAACTATACCATAATCCGTATTCACTTGACAATTTCAATACGCTCGTAAAGGTGTAATGACGGCATTTAATGGAAAAAGTCAATTAAACGGGAATTGAATCGCTGCGTAGAATTTTTCACTGGAAAAGAAATCAGTCTTTGGTAGAGAACTTGCCAACGGTTACGCAGAACGGAAGGAAATGTAATACCATGAACCAATAAATGATATAAATAAATAAATGATTAAAAGGATCAACCTGAGGGTTTTTAAATATGCAAAATCCAAAAATGCGAACAGCACTGTTGTCAGATTTACCACATATTTACATTACATGTCATAATTCTGTTATGTTAAATGTCATTATTTTTGTTGCAATGAAGTTAGAAGTATATCGGTGAAAGGTTGCCAGAATTATAGATATCATCTCGAAATCTGACAACATTGGTGTTAGCATTTTTGAATATTGTTCAAGAATCCCTAAGTGTTGAAATTTATCATTCCAGTTTTGGCAGCTTGGGAGATTTCTATCAAAATGGACAGTGATGTCAAAAATTCGTATACAAATTTACTTATTTAAATTTAAATTTAAATTTACTTATAATAAAGCCGGTCTCTGTCCCTCTAGGGACCAGAAATTGAGTACTCTATAAGCGGAAGTACGCCATAAAAAAACATAAAGAATTATGTAGGTAGGTACATATTTTTACTTATATAAAAATAGAAAAACTGATAAACACTAATAAAGGTACTAAAAAACGAAAAAAACTTAACTACCTATACTAAAAACCTATCTATCTATATAAACTTTACAACATACAAGTAAAAATACATATGTACTTTATTCCTTTTTTAGTAAAAAAAATCGTTATTTTTGTTTTTTTTTTTTCAATACAAACTTCATATTCTCGATGTGCTGCTCAACCTTCCAGGACACTTGCATAATATCATCAGTTACATTATCAGTAGATTGTAAAAAATTGTAACAATTTTAGCGGCACAAAGCGTTTCAAAATAACTTGGTACTTCGTCCTGTTGAACATTATCGTCGCTTTCGTTGCCAGAGCTTTGAGGATCATTTGGCTGCAAAACTTCAGTAATAATATCATTAATAACTCCGTTGTTATTAAATTATCATCAACAGTTGGGAAGCTATCCAGCGCAGGAAGCTACATTTCAATGTTGGTTAGATCTTGGCCGCTATTGTGCAACCAATTACATACTTAGGGGAACCACCCAGTCATCGTCGTAATTATTTTTGTACTTCTCGACTTACTGGACCAGAGGTCTGAATCAGATTCATCTTCCGATTTTATCAGACCTGCATGTGGAAAGCAGTTTGACATAGTGGTTGAAGTAACATCATTCCATCATTGTGCAAGTAATTTTATGAAGTTTAGGATAGTGATGTTGAAAGGTTCCTTATTTTTAAATGACTGGATCAAACGATACAAAAAATATCTGTGGTAATATGTCTCAAGGCATTTTATTATGCCCTGATCCAATGGTTCGACGACTGAGGTGCTATTTCGAGGCAAAAACTCTAATCTGATATTTTAAAGAAGCAATATTTTTCTATTTTGACGTATAACAAGAATTTTTCGTTTACTATCATATTTGCAACGGCGTACCTCAACTTCGACGGCTTCCCACCCAAACACTTCTCTCCTCTAAATCTAAGTGTACGATCTGGAGTCTGTAATTTTGTGCAATACTGGGCCACTTATCCCCTCACCAGTTCAGGCACAGTTTGTTTGTTAAGATCTCCTGCTTCACCAGAAATTTTACCGACGTTTATGTTGTGACGAACTTTAAAACTTTCGAGCCAACCTGTAGAAAAATTAAAATCCGTACCCTGTAATCCCTTAGCTAATTCTGCGGTATTCTATTTCAGAACTGGACCACTTATTGCAATATTTTCGGATCTTCGAACTTGAAACCATCGTAAAAGAGCTTTGTCCACATACAAAGTTTCTAATTTTTTTATCTTTTCGTGATTACTTCAAATTGTAGATAATGTTGTTTTTGCCAACTTCTTTTGTCTAGCAATTTCCGCATTACCGACGCCACTCTTAATACTTCTGATAATCCCTATCTTTACTTATTTATTTATTTATTTATTTATCAACGGGCCAACCGTCCAATATAAAATAGGATTCACATAAACAAAATAGTAAAGAACAAAATCAAATAAAATAAAATAAAACAAAATTAAAATTATCTAAAGATTTATGCCGATCCGCCATTTTAACCATAAACTCAAAAAATCGTGATAGAAGTGGAAACTGTCGGCCCTTTCAGAGAAAATCTCGCAAATGCTTATATTGTACTTTATTGTACTTTATAACCGTAGTAGAAGTTATATATGGTACGTAATATCCGATGAAAAATTAGGATTATTTTGACAGGACTAGTAAAATATGTACGTTAAACCCGGAAGTACGTTATATATAGAAGGAGTTTACAGGATATTGTTAAAGGAAATTTTTTATTTTGATTAGTTCTCGAGCCTTTAAAAGTACAAATAATTCAACTTTTTCTTATTGCTTTTTTTGCACCTTTGCTATATTTCGGTTGTTCGCTAAATGTAGGAATTTTTCCTATTTGTTGTTTTGGTTGAAAATTTCGTGCCCAACTCTGAAATGTCAATTTAACACTATTTTGAAATAACTTTTTCCGTTATTTTTCCTTCTAACGACGCTTTGCGCGTTTTCAAGTCGGATTGCATTCTCCCTTACAATAACAAAAATTCAATAAGTAATAAAATTTTCGCCGAAAACCATATATAGAACATATTTTAAATTAAATATACTATTTTTTGGTCTTGCTAGTGGTTTCATCACACAAAAGTTCCAAATCTTATGTGCACATTCTCCGCATTAAAATGTCATTGAAATTTCTATATGCCTTTGGAAATGGTACAAAAAATTGCGACAAAAAACCACAACATAGTGTCTCTATATTTACAAATGGATTTAGTATAAACTTTGCTGTCTCGTTTCTTGGTAGCGAATGCTTAACGGTACCGATTTTTATCTTGTTTTCGCAGGATTTATTGGAGCAACTATTCAAGCTGTTCGACCAAGACAGGGCGCAGAGTTTACCGCAAGAGAACTGGATAGAATTCCTCAAGCAGAGACTCACGTAAGTTCCCTTCGCCACATTAATGTTTTTCGATACACAATATAACAATACCGAAATATTTTGTTTTGTTTCTTTAATTTATTTTCAGAAATGAAAAACAAATAGACTTTGCGGAACAGCTGGAAAGTGTGGCGTTTTGCCTTTGCGGAGATGAACCGATCAGAGTGCCACAATTCTATCAAATATTTAACGCTAAAGGGGTGAGTAAACCAAGTCGGAGGCTCCAATCTCAAAGCTGGTAGGATTTCACGACTATTTGACCCAACTAATCTCGGTATTTTAAACTCTATGTACTTTGGGCCACTCCATTCACACCTCTGAGATCCGAGATAAAGTATGTGTGCTGTTGGTAGACGATAAAATTATTATTGTTGTGTCTACAACATCCAGAAAGCAAGAAACCGAAGAACACTTTTAAATCAACTTTTTTTATATAAAGAAAATAAAAAACAAACACTTATGGACATAAATATTAAGAAACAAGATATTACTGCAAAAATATCATTCTCAGAAATAAAATTTTTTACCTTTGTTGTAATTAAGTGAGTAGAAATTGTTTAAAAAATCTACTGGAAATTTGTTTATCAATTTTGGAGGTTTATATGAAATAGATCTTTGAAATAATGCTAGGTTGTGTCGAGGTAAAAGTAGCAACTATTTTATATAATAATTATAATAATAATAATGCTTTCATTCTTACAACCACCAACATTACATATTATTAAATAACCAAATAAAAATGCTTTAAATAATAGTTAATAATAAATAGGCTTTACAAGGGCAGCCATCTAGAATGTCTAGATACTATTCAGACCCCAATTTACGCAGCGACATATTATATAATAACGTATTTAATTAAATTAATTTCATTAATTAATTAGTTAGCTTCTTAATGATAGAAAAAAAGAAGAGTTGGAGATAAATGAAAGGGGCATATGAATTACATTACATATTACTGAGATCGCAGCAACTTTTTGAGATCATTGCTACATGTTGGATTAGACTGATTAATATTAAATTTAGCTATATAGTATTATTGGAATACGATCTTTAAAAAAATTCACGGGGTATTACAAGTCGGTGTCTTCCACGCAGATTCAAATTGTGTATTGTTATGTTAAAAGTAATTTTGCTATAAAGATAAACGGGTTCTAATTATGTTAAAATATAGGGAATTCACTCGCAATTTGCATCGAAGGTACATATTGAGCCAACCGGACGCAGAAAGGTACGGAGAGATGTCATCTCTCCTCCTTACTTCATAAATTAGCCTTCTGAACCCTCTGGATATGGTAGCGATTGGTCAGAATGCAAAAGTGATTAAATTGTGACAGAACAAGCGATTCACACAACAGTTTACGAGTTCGCTGACAAAGACCATATTGATTACCATAAAATAATTTCAAATTAGCATAGGCAACCCTTAGTTTATTGGTAACATGTTCTCTAAACTTTAGCAAGAGTGAAACCAAAGCTTTTATAAGATTCAGAATATGGAAGATTTATGTTATTAAGTTTAATTGTTATGGTGTTCGTTGCATGAGTTAAATGATTGTCATTTCAAAAGAGTATTAATGAAGATTTTGCGTCGTAATCTTAAAAAAAATGTTTTATAAGTAAGATTGTGAAGGCGAAGATATTTCAAAGATTTGCCATTTAGACGTCTCTGTCTGCGTATAACGTGACTCATCCCGTAGTATTTAAAAAAAAAAAGAAAATCTCACCATAAACTGAATTAGCTTATGTAATTAATTTCTCAAATAGAAGTAGTTTATGGTTAGACCCCATTATTTCACGATTTGGATAAAGTCTCTTAATAAATTCATAGGAGTATTGACAATATTAGTATCCACCCGTAGCCACAGATTTTTTACTTCAGTTTTAAACTCTATATCAACCTCATTCATTGTTAACTTTGGATGATTTTGGACATAGTCAATCCGTTGTTTAAGCTGAAAATTATGAGCTGAAGATATATCGAATAAAGAATTTTAGTTCTTTATAGCTGCATCAAATACATCATTTGCTTGAAAAGAGTAAACAGTTGTGAACTGTCAGCGTACTTACTAGGCTATACGTGTTTCAAAACAAGGAAAATCAAAGATGTATGTTAAGAAGAACAGAGGTCCCAAGACTCGATCTTGGGATAGCCCCTATGTCACAGAAAGAGTTATAGAGTTACCATTACTATAGACAATCTATTGCGTTCTTCTCTAACAGTAAGAGTTAATTAATTCAGTGAAAATTAAAAAAAAATATCTTTTGATAACGATTTTCAGTATCAACCGTTTCAAAAACTTGAATCCAGCAGAGTAGGACAAGAGGACAAGACACTTTATTTCGATCTCTCAAATCAATAATTATACACGAGAAATGAATTTTTATAAATCCTTGTACACGCCGCTAAATCATTAATAATTTTATTTAAATCGCAATGGGCGGGGTAAGTTATATATTATGTCAAGCGTATGATATTGTTTTCCTAAATTCTGATTAGATTGTGCTGCTCACGTTTTGCAAATTGTCCTTGCAGATAATAGATAAACTCTTTCGTCTAATCGACGAGAACAACTTGGGCACCGTCACTTCCGAAGAAATAATGGAATTTTTGGCTACAATTACTAACCAACGGTAAAAAACTGTTAAGTATACAAAAACAAACATTTTTAAATCGTGTGTGTGTCTTTATAGACCCAGGACTGGTTTCGACAAAGGTAGCATAGACAGACTCGAGCAGTTATTTCGGCAGACCGTTGGCAATGAGAAGGAAATCAGGAGGGAGGAGTTTCAGAAAATCGTCATTTCCAAAAACGTTCGTAATTGCTGTATTAAATTTCAATATTATCGCAACTGCAGCTCCTTTTTTAGCCATTCTTCACCGAGAGGGTTTTCCAAATATTCGACAAGGACAATTCAGGGTCCATTTCGTTGCAAGAATTCCTCGACTCGATGCATCAGTTCGCCGGTCAAACTCCCGACGATAAAATAAGATTTTTATTCAAAGTATACGATTTGGATGGTACGTTGGTCAACTCGAAACGGGATGAAAATTAACCAAAGACAAAAATTGAACAGGTGACGGTTTGATTCAACACAGAGAACTACAGCACGTGATGCGCGCGTGTATGGAAGAAAACGGAATGCAGTTTAGCGAAGAACAGATCGAAGATCTGACGGTGGCGATGTTTGAAGACGCCGACACTAACAGCAGGGGCGCAATCACTTACGAGGCGCTGAAAAGTCAACTGGAAAAGCACGGAGGATTATTGGAAAATCTATCAATCAGGTTGTAGAATGAATTTTTTTACGTGGTTCAAAATCTTGGTCTGTTCATAGATATAAGAAAGTGACCAATATCTTTTTAATGGGATTATCCAAGGGTGGTCATTAACATACAATGCAAATCTTTTACCTAAAGTTTCGGAATTTAAATTCAGGTACAATTGTGTCCGTAATAGAAAATAATTTTATACCTACCTGTGTTTAATATTCTTTGGTTTGGTATAGTACTTAGTTTAAGTTTATTAGTAATCGTTCTTATTTCGTGTGTAATACAGCATGTGTTGAATCGTGTACGAATTATGCAAAATATGCGCGAGTCTAGTGTATCTCAGGAGATGCTCCTGCCCAAATGTAGCAAACACTATTTTATTGAGACTAAGGAAGTTATAAACAATGTTTATTTGACTCTCATTGAACGTGGTGCCAGCTAGCAAGCATCTTTAGAAGAAACGGCCACATTGACGAAAATTCCAACATCAACTGTATGGAAACTTGTGAATAATCCCATTTCAGGGATGAAAAAAAGAAGCGATGCTGACATTTTCTTGAGTGTAGATGAAAGTGATCAAGATATAATACGGCGTAAAATTTATCAGTTGTACGAGGAACAAAGCGTGTCTACATTAGATATCTTAATTAAAAGATGAGACCGGTGCTAAATGTTGCAAAACTACCTTATGGAAGCGTATTCAACACATGGGTTTTAGATTCCAAAAAATTGACAAAAGGCAAGCTTTAATGGAATCTTTTAGAATTCGGAAATGGCGACTGGAATATCTAGAAAACAATGAGGATTTACAGAGAACAACACAGGCCAATTATTTACTTGGATGAAACCTGATTCGACACTTACGGAAAAGGGTTGGGTTGACTCAACTGATAAGTGTCACGCCATCAAAAAGAGGTAAAAGAATATCTATTTTGCATGCTGGCTCTAAAGATGGTTTCTCTGTCTTTGAAAAATATTAATGATTCTTCTCTGGATTAGCATGAAGGCATCACAGCTGATTTATTTGAAAGTTGGTTTAAAAACAAACTAGTTCCAAACATTCCTCCTAATAGCGTAATTGTAATATACATTGCAAGTTATCACAGTAGACAGTTGACTAAAACCCCTTCCTCATGTGACACAAAAGCAACAATCCAAAACTACATGTAAAATAACGACGTTTATTTTTACGAAGATTATACCAAAAACCAATTAATTGATGTTCTACCTACAAAAGGAATACGTCTGTGATAATTATGCAAAAAATATAGGGCATACAGTTTTAACCACCTTACCACTGTATATTTAATCCCATTGAACATGTTTGTTAACTCCAATGTCCTCAAACTTATAGAAACCGAAGTTTTTAACATCCCTCCACAAAGTTGGGCAAATTCTGTTAAAAATATAGAAAAAGCAGAACAATCGTATATCCATATTGCAAATAATATAGAACAAATAATAATTATCATAAATAAATAAATATTCGGCCATATTTCATTCTTACAGCTTGCCCGGGTCTTTCCTTAATTCGTATCCGTCAGTCACTTCCTTATATCTATGAACAGACTTTACCTCTTAAAATAACATTTACACTCAGCGTTTGTTTCAGATAACAATAATCAGTAACGTTCAATATTTCCTTTCTAGTATAGACCGGTGGTTGGTACCGCCACCACCGAAGTCGTCGTCCGGCTCACTGTTTCGCAGAATAGTATCCTACAGGCCGTACTACCTTACCGTTCCATATATAAAAAACAACTACGTATACTTACTATTTCTGAGCGCGTTTCTACTAACAAACGTCGCCCTGTTTATATCAAGAGCCGTTCAGTACCGCAAAAGCAACTGGTTCACCATCTTCGCCAGGGCATGCGGTAAGCCTAAATTATACTCCAGAGACGCAAGGCCATAAACTATCGTATGCGGTATTATAGGCCAATGCCTGAACTTCGACTGCATGTTCATCCTCGTTCTAATGCTGCGACGATGCATAACGTTCTTAAGAACTCGCGGATACGGCTCGGTACTACCCTTGGATCAACACATCTACTTCCACAAGTTAACCGGATGGTTGATATTCGCGTTCAGCTTGTGGCACTCTATAATGCATACATTTAACTTTAGTAAGTATCGAGTATGGTAGCGTATTACCTTCCCGGAATGACGTAACGCTGTTTTATTTATTTATTTATTACAAGTTTAGGTCGCTTACAGTACTTGGTACCAAAAAATAGCAACCACAATGTTAGTTCAAATCGGTGGATTTATACAAAACAAAAGTCGGATGTAGAACATTATACAAAAAGAGGAAGATATTTAACACTCATACACTGCTAAGTTACACTATAAGTCCTAGTAATGGAGTATTTGATATATCGTTGAAACTGCACCTGAGACATTGAAGAGACGTCGAGGTTAAAATTGGAGTTAAGTGTATTTATTATACGAACTTTGCATTCTTAGCAAAGGGGAATGTTGCCCTGTGTTGGTTCTACTATATGGGATTTGAAAGAGATTGGCGTATCTTAAATCTCGAGCGGGAATTCTAAAGTTAAGTTTCGAGAATCAATTTGTGAGTTTGTTTTATCTCCCAAACTAAATATTTTGAACCGATTTTTAATCGGGCGATAATCTCTTTCTTCTATACGAGTGTGGGTCTTAAGAGCGAGAAATTTTAAGAATTTATTTTGAGTGTTCTCGATTCTGTTGATATGAACTGCGTAGCGTGGATTCCAGATAACAGATGCGAAGGAAATCCTACTTTGAATAAGGAAATAAGCGTTCGAGGATCATTGAAGTCCCGGGAGTTTCTATTAATAAAATCAACCATTCTATTATTCTATTTATTATTCTTTGTCTATGATGTCTAAATGACCACTTTGTGTCAAGTGTAACTCTCAGATCCCTTACTTCGTTCACTCTTACCAGGTCATTGTTATTTATTTTATAAGTAAAATCTATTTTGTTGACTTTTTTGGTGAACGAAATACTGCGACATTTTGCAGGATTTAGAAAAAGCTGATTGTCACCGCAGTATCTTTCAAGCCTGATGAGATCCTGCTGCATTTTACGGCAGTCCCTGTGGGTCGCTACGACACCAAATAATATCAGATCGTCTGCATTAAGCAGTATATTGCAGTATTTAAAACAGTTTCTTATATTGTTGATATATATATAATAAAAAATAGTGAGCCCAGGTGACTACCATGACGGACTCCAGACATTGCATGAAACGGGTCTGGCACATGTCCAGTAATCGAAACAGCACTCTCTCTCTCTCAGAAATATAAGATGGTGACCACTTCACAAGTTTCACATTTTCTCATTTTAAAATAAGGTATTTCTTATTTTATATATATTTTAGCAATGATCCTTAACCTAAACGTATACAGTAAGGTAGAAAAGAGGGTTGTGCTGAGCGCTGGAGAAAGCTAATTTAAAATTGTCATTTTCCGTATAAAAAGCGGTGTAATTGTTAAAAACGTCTGGCAAGTGCCGTACAAATTTTCCTTAAAAGCGCCACCAGAGTTTTCACAAAAGTATTTTATAGCTCCAATAACTAAAATGTTCTCGCCAATAAGGTCACAAGGATTCATTCTTTGTTTGCAATGTAAAAAATTGATGCCAGTTACCCATTTTTATCAAAATTATTTTCAAAAAAAATCTCAAAAAGAGACAATACTGAATATAACTAACTTCACTGTCTTCAGAATCAAAACAAAATTATAGTATGTTTTCATCGTCATTGTTCATCATCATATATCTGTATTGTCTTTTTGGATTACCATTGTTTATTTTTTCCCACACTAGCCCTTAAGGCTAGCAATATATTGGTCACATTTCCTTTTACTATTTTGTAGCCTAACGGTTTCACATATTCATCTAAGTAGAATTTTTTTGGTTGAAATTGCTTTCTAAAATACTCCACGTTTGATCCTTACTAGGCCTTTCTGGTACGTCAATGTTCTTTTCTTTTAACCATCCAATGAACCTCTGCTTTTCTTGGAATATCCTCTAAAATGTTGGAACGATAGCTTGCATTGTCCATCACTATCAAACCTTTTGGAGGAAGGTTTCGTACCAGCTAATTTTTAAACGAATTTTTAAAATTTCATATTGTCATGATACGCTCCGCTTTTTAGTCTACTTTTAAATATTTAATTGGCCTCCTTTGATTCATCGTAAAGCACAATACATCATTGTCGCTGACTTTCAATAGCATTTTAGAACTTGTAGACATAATTTTATCCTGCCTGCTGTTTCCAAACAAGCTTTGACTAAAAACCCAAATCTCTGGTGATGGTATAAGCATCTTCTCCTAAATTTGAACTTTTGATATATTCCCTTTCTGTGAGGTAAATGCATCAGGTATTTTCTACTATTCGATTCTTCCACTTAAAATCAATACTTTTTACGTATTTTCTTAGCCAGCTGATGGAAACATTTTAGTGTTTTTAACCTAAATCTGAATTATGACATAGTCTTTTGGCGCGTACATGTAGTTGATCAGCAATTTTTCTGGCATTCTGGAGGTAAATGATTCACTGGTCATTGATTCCACTTTTCTTAATATTTATGATTGTTGTATCGCCAAGTTGTGTTGCATTTGTAGCTCGTTCAATTACATTGTCAATATTTTCTCCCAACCCAAGATATTCAAAACCGCTGGCTATGACTGCTGATTATATCTTAGCGGCATTTTGGAAAAGTTTATAAAGAGTCATATTCAAAATGTTTTTTTCAGAATTTTCTTGTCTCTGTCGGTTGACATTCATTAAACAAAAGTAACCAGAAATGACGTCATTCCAGAAAGGTAATGCGCCAGTTATATCCATCTAAGGACGTGGATAAGTTTCGGATTGTCTTCCTAGGTTTGATAGTGATCCACGACCCCGTACTAAACAAAATGAATTTTACTACTGGCGAATGGCTTTTTACTAGCAAACCCGGACTCTTCGGTCTAGTACCTGGATGGGCTAATCCCACAGGAGTAGCCCTGTTTGTGATACTCTTGGTAATGTTTATCTGTTCCCAAGCTTTCGTACGAAGAGGCGGTTGTTTTGAAGTAAGTATTCGCACTTGGAACCGACCGTTACTAACTCGATCAAACTTCCAGATCTTTTATTGGACCCATCTGATGTACATCCCGTTTTGGGTGTTGCTTGTATTGCACGGTCCCAATTTCTGGAAATGGTTTACATTTATCGGCTTGGTTTACCTAGTGGAACGCGTGTTTCGCGTCGAGTCCACCATGTCCAAGCGCGGGAAAAGTTACATCAGCTCGGGACTACTCTTGCCCTCCAAAGTAACTCACTTGGTGATCAAGAGGCCCAAAGAGTTCGATTTTCATCCGGGCGACTACGTATTCGTTAACATCCCAGCCATTGCCAAGTACGAGTGGCATCCGTTTACCATCAGTAGCGCTCCAGAGCAGGAAGGTGGCTTCTATTTCACTAAATGGATTTCGGCGAAAAGTATTGACTTAATGATGTCGTAGATTACATGTGGCTCCACATCAGAGGAGTGGGTCAATGGACCAATCGCCTCTACGAGTATTTCGAGAAGGAACAAGAAAAGCTTCACAATGGCGAAGTATCGCCCGTCAAGCAACACTGTCACAAAGGGAACGTTCCCAACGGAACGCCGCACTCCACCAACAACCAGACTACCTTCAAGCAGATCCAAGCGACCGTCACCAGGAGCTGGTCTAGAAGAGATGCGAACAAAAAATCTGGAGTGCAGCTTGTCGGGTTCTCCAACGAGACCTTTGAGAAGGAGACCCAAAAGTCTCCGCAATCGGAGACCGATTTTGGAAGGCCATCGTGTAGCACCTCCGGTGAGAATTAATTATCGGGAAGATTAGGATAAAACGCTTTTCTCGTTGTAGATATCGCCAGTAGATCGCGCAAAATGTCTCCCGAGAATCGACTGCAGAGGTTGTTGTTCGCAAAGAGGGCGCCACTGGAGAAATCGTTGTCCATGCCGGATATGCAGAACCACGCCAAGAAGAGAGAACGAATTTTGGCGTGAGTTTACTCAATTTTATTGAGATATAGATATAGCTGCGTTGCGTCGTCAGGTTGAGGGAGTATATGAGATCAGAGTCGGAGAAGAGCTTCGATCAGTGTCAGATGAGGAAGGCGCGTTTGAAGTCGTTGGGTTTGGCCTATCTGAGCCCTCAGAACAAGAGCCTGGCGCAGAGTTTCCGATACATGAGGAACAAGCCGACCATTATTGCGTTCAAGACACCCAGCTTGGAGAACTGCGAGAAGAGGGATTCGACCAATTCGTTTGAAACTAATGGTACGCAAGTTTTTTTTTTCGACCATTAGAAATGCCAGAAAACCACTAAAATGATCTAATTTTGTTTGTTTTGTTTGTTGTTGTTGGTATGTTTATTTTTATTAATAGTATAGAAAAGATATCAATGAATCAAAGTTTCTTCCTGCACATGTGAATATCGTTTAAATTGTTCAAGTTGAAAATAAATATCTTAGGTGATCATTTCATAGGTCGACCAATTAGTTATCAGTCCCCGGAAAGACGAGCCGAGGAGGGCCTTGCATTGCAACTATGCAACTTGTCACCTGCGTCGTCACATCTAAAACCCGTAAACTATCCCGTGGGTAAACCTTTGGAGGTAAGACAATAAACCAAGCGCATTTTGACTTGAACAACCAAGCAACATCAACTAGTGCATTATTTGATTTTGTTCATCAGAGTTCGAGAAGGAAATACTTCCTGGACTATGGTGAAAACGAACTTAAAGTCAGATTGTCTGACAGCGACGGGACCGAGGTGATTTTCGTGGTGATTGACAGCTTACGCGCTCTTATAACCTTGTCTCTATTGCCCGCCCGCATTTGCAATTGTAAGGCTTTTGTCGTTGCTGCAATTATCAAGTAAAAAAGAAAGTCTTGAGGGATTGAGAAACTCTAGATAAATAAGAACTCGCAATGGAACAAACTGCTAACATTATTAAAATTTTAAGTATAGTCTGTCCCAATCTTTATCATGTTGGCTTTCGACGGATCCAATGAAAATTTAAAGATGTTATTACCTATTGTTATTGAGTAAAGCCATTAACAAAAAAATTCTTCTCACTTGAGTGACAAGACAGGGGTGGGCTAGGTATATTTCTTTCTTTCTATATTGGACAATCCTTTATGCTGTGCGTTTCGAAAAAGCTATGTCGCTTGATGGAAAACATGTTGTGAAATATGTGTATTAAACTTATCAGAGGACTTGTTAAACAAGAAATTTCGTCGAAAAGGAATACTCTTAATAGTGGAGAATTGAAGAAAAGAAATGTATGTAGGCTTGAAAAAAATGAAACCGGTGTTAAATGTGGATGAACCTTATGGAAGTGTATTCAACACATAGGTTTTAGATTTAAAAAAATTGACAAAAGATTTAATGGAATCTTTTAGAATTCGGAAATGGTGACTGGAATATCTAGAAAAAATTAGTATTTACAGAGAACAAAAAAGGTCCAATTATTTACTTGGATGAAACCTGGTTCGACACTTATGATACCGCGGAAAATGGTTGGGTTGACTCAACTGATAAGTGAAAACCAAATGCGTCATCAAAAAGAGGTAAAATAATTACTATTTTGCATGCTGGCTCTAAGGATGGTTGGATTCCAAATGGACTTTCTCTGTCTGCGAAAAATATTAAAGATTCTTCTCTGGATTACCATAAAAACACCACCGCTGATTTATCTGAAAGTTGGTTTAAAAACAAACTAGTTCCAAACATTCCTCATAATAGCGTCATTGTCATTGACAATGCAAGTTATCACAGTAGACAGTTGACTAAAACCCCTTCCTCGTGTGACACAAAAGCAACAAACCAAAACTACATCCATAATAACGACATTTATTTTCACGAAGATTATACCAAAAAGCAATTAATTGAGGTTCTACAAATACAAAAGAAATACGTCTGTGATAATTATGCGAAAAATCTAGGGCATACAGTTTTAAGGCTTCCACCTTACCACTGTATATTTAATCCCATTGAACAAGTTTGGCACCAACTGAAATCTGCCATTCGTCGTAACAATGTTTTCCCCATGTTAACTCCACCGAGGTTTTTAACATCCCTCCACAAAGTTGGGCAAATTCTGTTAAACATATAGAAAAAGCAGAACAATCGTATATCCATATTGCAAATAATATAGAACAAATAATAATTAGAACAGGCGATGATAGCGATAGTGATACTGATATATTATGTGAATAATTTTAAGTAATTTTAGTATGTAATAAAAATAATTTGTAATTTTATTTTAGATTTAAATTTTATTTAGATTTAAAGGGTCTTTCTTTAATTCGTATCAGTTAGTCACTTTCTTATATCTATCAGACTTTACCACGGTCGTTTGCTATGCTGAACTGAATATTTGTTAGAAATTTATCTTTAATTTGAATTCAGTTACAAAAAGGCCAACTTTTGGGAATCTTAAATTCATATTAAAAAACGGTATGTATGCAATATTTGGGCTGAACAGGCCGGGCATACTGTTTTACGTTTTCCTCCATATCATTACATGTTTAACCCCATAGAGTATCTGTGGAGCTAAGTAAAATCAAAGGTCAGAGCAGAAGATGTTATCATATGGCATGTAATTAATATCATACCAAAAGAGGGCTGGAAAATTTCGGGACAGCACATTATGAAACTTCAGGACATTTCTATACAAAACAACATAAATCCTATTATAATTAATCTCAATGACGACTCCGATAGTGAAGCAGAATTAGATTTAGACATTTAGAATAAAAATGTAAATATGTACAGATATTCCTAGCTATGAATTTATTGTATATTTTTAAAGTCGTTGTTTTTTTCTTAGTGTAACTTAATCAGATTATACCCCCACCTAAATAAACAAAAGAAAAATTATATTATTACGAAAACCATTGACAGTCCGTCCCAATGTTCGGTCCTTTGATACCTATGGGGCCAGAGTTTTATTGCCGTAACTTCCATAATTGCGGGCAAAAGCCAGCACGATGAAGATTGAGACAGACTATACATACATTTTGGAGACATATTTTAAGCTTATCGGCCCCTGTATTACCCAAGAAACATATGGAATAAACCAATGCAATGACCGGAACCAACGTCTATTTCCTGCATATACCTACCAGACATATAGATGGCCCTGCATATGCTAATAGTACAGGAACTCGTGAAGCAACTATGTAACAAAATTTTGAGAAGGTCTGTTCAATATGCGCATGCGCGATATTTGAAATTTCGTTTTTAACCAATGGCAGCTCTAATTAAAAATTCTGACGTTCGACTCATAAGGCCTTGCGGCTTTCAACAACCAACATGGCCGCTGGCAAGTCGTCAATGTTTGGATGCTGCAATTTTACGGGAGTGTTTTTTCCAAATATGTCGAAATCCTATTAAATTTTCAGGCAAAAAAGAAATTAAGGTGTGAAAAGCGTTGTTAAAAAAATTAGCGACAAGTGCATGGTTAATATTATGCTGAATTACAGCAAACGGATCGGCGTCTTTAATATAATTCTGTAAGTAGTTTGGCATTTTGGTTCTTTAAGCCCTATAGACACGATACCAGCTATTTTTTCCCGAATTTGTGCCCGTAAATCGGCGCAAAAAATAAAGTCGAATTCACGAAATGTGACTCTAAAAGTGTAACTATAACTTTGAGGTAGTACTAAATATCGCACTGGAGACATCTAAGTGGAAAAAATGTTCAACAAGCACCTCATATAGACAGACGCGCATTCTTTCATCGCAAGTCTAGTAATTGCAAAAAGTTTCGCCTCCCAAATATACAATTATGAAAAGTAGCAATTGGCAATTTCATTAAAAAGCTGTAAGTATTGGAAAATGTAACCAAGAAATTTAAAAACTAGTATAAAACAAGTCAATAAACAATTAGCCCTAAATGTAACAGACTTAACATTACCAAACCCTGAAAAGTGTAGTTTATTGTCTCAAAATTTAAAAAAAAAATTGCTAGCAAAAATTGCATGGCGGCTACAACAAAAAATTCCCAGCAATTGTTAAATGCTAAAAATACAGGTAGAAATTGCATTGTGTCTACGGGGCTTTAGATATTAGTATCAATTCACACAATAATTTAGCTATATTTTATTGCAATTTGGATTCAAACGTAAATGTAAACAATGTCACAGAGTGTTAGTATTTTCTGGCAATAGCAATTCATAGCCCGACGTTGCCAATTATATTCGGATTTCAGAGACTGATTTTGCGTTCTTATGAAAATTACTCGATATTTCAGAAAAATTACGGCAATGTGACAATTCGGTTAGTTGGGAGTGACGCATGCGCAAAAGATCCACACCTTCTCTACGAAAATGTCATAGCCACCTGCGGCGCATCATTTTTTACTGTATTAGGGCCACTATATTATCTTATAGCTATATGATTTCAAAAATGTCCCAATATTGGAAGGAGCTATACTTTGGTTTATGTTGGCTGCCGAATTTTAACTCTTTTAGTTCTTTAGAATGACTTCTACGTGGTGTCGTTCCAAAAATAAACAATTTATTATGTCTCAAGATTTACATCGACGGGCCATATGGGGCTCCGTCCAGCCACATCTTCAGAGCCCAACATGCGGTTCTTATAGCCACCGGAATAGGAGTGACGCCATTCGCTTCGATACTCCAATCCATCATGCACAGGTACTGGAAAGCTAGGCACACTTGTCCGAGATGTAAATTCTCCTGGGCCAGCGATATTCCCGCCTCAATTATGAACCTAAGAAAGGTGAAAAGACTTACTCGACTGACAGCGCAGCGTCTTTTCAACGCCTCCTTCAATTATCGTTCAAGGTCGACTTTTTCTGGATCAACAGAGATCAGCGCACGTTCGAATGGTTCGTCAATTTGCTGTCGCAGCTGGAAATAGAACAGGCCGAACTAGGTGGAGCGATGGAGAGGTTTCTGGAAATGCACATGTACATCACCAGCGCGCTCCAGAAAACCGACATGAAGGCTGTCGGATTGCAATTGGCGCTGGACTTGCTGCACGAGAAGGTTTGTAGTAATTGAAGTATGCAGATGCGCCGTGGCTTAGTTAATCTAATGAGTTTGGCAAATAATTAATACCGTCATCAATCCAGTTGGTTTCATATCGACGAAATAGATTTAAAATTTTATCCCCTTGCAAAATATAAATGTTGTGGAATTGGTTGCGTAATGATGAAATAAATTTTATAATATTTGTTTTTCTATTTCTAGGAGAAACGAGACTTGATTACGGGTTTGAAAACAAGGACCAATGCCGGCAGACCGAACTGGGACAAAGTTTTTAAGCAAATAGCCGATCAGAAGAAGGGGAAAGTCACGATATTCTACTGCGGTCCTCCTCAGCTGGGAAGGATTTTGAGGGTTAAGTGCGATCAGTACGGCTTCAGTTTCAGAAAGGAAAGTTTTTAGAGCCTACCTAGTCAACCGCTGGAATCCTACGCGAAATGATTGAATTATTTGTTTTATATGTTTATAACTATTTTTTTATTGCCATCGGTTTTAATTTTAGATGGATAATTATGGTTTTGTAAATCTTTTTGTACAGTTAGTGAAAGTTAATTGGTATTGTAAAACATTGTATATAATTTATTATTCGTTTGTTTTGTATATACATTTACATATTGCAGTATTATTTTTTACTTTTCCTTCCAACAACAAATTCTGAAAAGGCTTAATTGGATATACTGGGTGTTTTTTAATTGAATGTCCATAATTAAAGGCGCGATTTTTGGGTCCATTTTTACAAGAAAACGTCATATGAACTTTTAAGATACAGGGTTTTAAAGTTTTCCAAAATGAAATATTTTTTTAATATCTATATTACCACTTTAAATATTTTAATGAAATTTGGCAGGCGTACAGAATTTCACCTAAATATTTTGGCAGACTTTGATGGTACGCCACTGATTAATAACGAAATAAAAATTATTCTTGCGATCTTCAATCATTTCTACATAAACAAAATAGTAAACAACAAAATAAAATAAAACAAAATTAAAATTAAAACACAAAAAAAAAATATTCTCTTACTGCAGCACTAAAGTGAGCAGGCGCGCAGTCATGCATGAACCACATTCTGGAAAAATTGGCAAATCTGCTTCTCAAAACCGGCGATAATTATGGCCATTTAGCCTTTCTGGTAGTGTCAAATTAAATTTCCAACAATTCCAATATGTTTTATTGTTGAAATTTCTGATTGCACTTGTGCAGCTTTGTCTGCAAATAGCACTTGGTCGAACAAAGGATAATGCGCAACTCTGTCTAACAAATCTGGGAAGTAACAGCCCAAAATATATTTTAACTAATGGCCAAAATGAGCCATTTCTTAAATGTTTTATAAACATACCCGTAAACTATAAACTTTAAATATGGTTTCATCAAAATAAATTAGAGAAAAATGTCACTGTAACGATAATTGTTACATGGTTTAAATATGAGACACAAACTGCAATTGGGCGATTGTCCTCGAAAACTGGTTAAAAAGAATGTTTATTCTATGGATTCAAAATTAAAGGTTAGGGATGGAGCAAGTTGCCGCGTTGAGCAGGAATATTTTCAAATATACGTCGGGTGTAGGAACAGCTGTGTGGGAAGGGTACGTTTAATTTTCTAAAGAATGCTCCTTTGTCGCGAGAAAAGTGTTTCTTCTTTAATTAAGCTATGTTTAACTGATGTTTATTTTTAGAACAAATTTTAAAGTGTCTTATTTCAAAAAAACGTTCTTTCATATTTGAGTTTCTTTTTGCCATTAAGTAACACGGTTTCTGTAATAATGTGTGAAACATATTTTAGATTTAGCGCAATGGCATCAAATAACAAGAGCCCACGTCTGATAAAAAAAATCGGCACTCATGATGGTATGTTTCACTGCGACGAAGCCTTGGCTTGTTTTATGTTAAAACAGCTGCCCATATATAAAGATGCGGAAATTGTCAGGACACGGAATTCTTCAGTAAGTAAAAAATTCGTTTAAGCTATAGATTTTAAATCTGGCTTCTTAAGATTTTAGATGAGTGTGATATTGTAGTGGACGTAGGTTTTGTTTACGATCCTAAAATCAACAGATTTGATCACCACCAAAGAAGTTTTACAGAGACATTAAACTCTGTCAGACAAGATTTAACAAATACTAAATTTAATAACATTAGGTGAGTGCACCAAAGATTTGGAAAAAGCAATTTTTGTTATTGTGTTGATTTCTAATCTAATTCGTATAATGAAAAATGAAATTTTAAATATTTTAGGCTTAGTTCTGCAGGGTTAATCTATGCTCATTTTGGTTTAGAGGTTATATCAGAAGTTCTAAAGGCTCGAAATTTTGTAGCTGGCAGTGAATGCTTGACCGCTCTTTATCTCTACATATATGAGGGTTTTATTGAAGAATTAGATGCTATTGACAATGGCATACCAATGTATGCAGAGGGCAAACCCTTGTACAGGATAAACACCCATTTGGGTGCCCGCATCCATAGACTGAATCCTGTGTGGAATGCCCCTGAATCTGTTGATACAGACTCATTGTTTCGTAAGGCCATGCAAGTTGTTGGGTCAGAATTTCAGGAAATAGTTCTTCAAGTAAGTGTAAATGTCCCTAACTTTTTTTTATGCCCTGATAAAAATATTTTTAGGGGTATTCCTCATGGTGGCCTGCCAGAGCTATTGTTAAGAAGATGATCGCAAAGAGAAAAGAATTCTATGAAACAGGTGAAATAATAATTTTGGATGAGAGGTGTTCGTGGAAAGACCACATATACACTGTGGAAGAAGAATTAGGTATTGTCGGAGAAATAAAATTTGTGTTGTTTCCTGACAAATCTGCGGGGACATGGCGGGTACAAGGTGTTGCCGTGCAACCTGACAGTTTTATATGCAGGTAAGCTTTCGATTAAAAACTAAATATTTTCATTCTCGAGCAAAATTATTCAATTTTTAGAGTGTTTTTGCACAAAGATTGGCGGGGAGTGAGAGACGAGGAACTAAGTAAAGTGGCAGGTATTGAGGGTTGCCTATTTTGCCATTCGACTGGCTTTATTGGGGGTAATAAATCAAAAGAGGGGGCAAAGCAGATGGCGATCGCAAGTCTTAAGGCTGCCGAAGCAGGAGTGGAGTAGTTTTTTAATAAAGTGTTAGTTGATTATGTTTGTTCAACTTTGAATTATTCTGAAAATTATTCTGCAACTTGTCTGTAAAAATTAAAATTATTTGAAAATAGTTTCGGATGAACAACAATTTTTTTAGATAAATTCATACTGTGAGGTATGGTTAATAATTTTATTGTTAATTAAGTGACTGCTCATTTTCTACTTATTGTTTCATGTTATAGAAAATGTGTAAATAAAAGCAACCCCTTAAATTACAACGCCATTTTATTGTGCATACAATACAAGTATATATACATATACACTTTCTTAAACATATTTCTGGAAATTTCTGGACAGAATTTAACAACAAATATCCTTAGTTCAACAAAATTACCGTATAATAATAATAATATTCAACAGAAAAGTTAAAACGATAACATTACCTACATATATTTAAAATAAAGAACAATAAACGTATAATTTTTTCTACAGATATTAAATCCCTATTGCATTTACAACATTATTTTGTATAAGATCCGAATTTAGCGGATTGTCCTTTCGTTGAGTGTGGCGTCTGAAATCTTGAACATACGGAGGGTCGTCTTCTATACTTGGATCTTAGAATTTACGCTATTTTTCATTGTCTGTTATAAATGCAATATCGCTTAAATATATTTTAATATTTTGAACACACGGTTATTACACGCATTTTTCGCTATACTCCTACAGATTGTATTTATTTTATTCAAAAAAATAGAAAGTTGAGCTACATTCATATTGACATTATTTGAAAGATTTACATATTTTTGATATAAAATGAGCACATTCTTTTTATTGAGACATCGTAAATATAGTAGTACACAAATTCGTTCTAGGTTACCATAGTAAGTAACGGATTTTCATTCATAGGGAAGAAACTAAGTATAGGGTAGGATAAAGAAAATAGTTTACGCGGTTACAGAAAAATAAAATATGGCTTGGTTCCTCAGGTACGGATGGGAAACAGTTTACATTTTTTTTTTGCAAATCCGGCTTGCTTTATAAAATAAAAACGATCTGCTTTCACAGAGCTTCCGTAAGACACTATGTGTATGTTTTGATTTAGCAGAAGGATAATACACCAAAGTCTGCAAATACCTGGCTTGTATACCTAGATATTTTTTAAATGATAAGTTATATTATTACGTTAGATATATTGTTTCATTTTATCACACATTTTCGTGATCATTTATAACATAAAAAATAATGTACTAACACTCGAGGATCTGGTATTATACAAATATATAGAGAACAGGCAACTAGGTGGCAGAATGGAAAAATTAATAAATAAATAAAAAGTCAGCAATGATATCAGAGATCTAAAGTGTATGCCAATATATAATAGACTAGAATAATAACTTATCATCGGCCATTGCATTGCAAACCTTACATGTTGCTATGTATTCCGTTTTGATTAAGTATTTGCCTTATTTGCGAAAGCAGATCTGATATTGATGTTAATAAAAATAAATAAATAAATAAATAAATAACGGTCATTAATTAATATATAACAAGAAGATTAATATTAGTCTATTTACAAATTTACAAAGCAATAATACACTAAAATATGTTACGTGACACTATTTGGGTATTATTTTGTTTTGCTAAGCTTATTGGGTTGGCACATATTTTTGCTGCGGGACAATTTGGCCGGTCTGTGTCCAAAAACTGACGATTACTTCGGAATATTGATTGGAATATAGTGCCAAGTGACATACAACAACCCAGAGTATAATTATTTAACTAAAGAATCTGACGGACATTTTTACGTTTGGTTATTTTGTTTTACAAATTTATCACATTTAAATATTTTCCTTTACTGTTAGGTAGTTACTTAGGCCGTTCAGAAACTCTAAAATGGACGAACCAAGTTGAAAACCTCTGCCAATTAAACAATAATATCGATCAATAAGTACGGTTTTTTTTAATATTTACAATTGTTAGTTTATAGTACTGTATATGTCTCTACAATACTCATTCGTGGGGTGCTTAATAATTAGATTATTAAAAACACCACTCTTTCGAAGCAACGTTTCGACACTTTCGCGTATCCTTCACCGGGTTTGTTCAAACCACCACAAAACGTTAACAAGTGACGCCCATTGTATGGGTGGACAATCTATTTTGATAGTTCGTGGTTTTGTTTCATTATTTGTAACGTTAGTTGATATGGTTGGGTTTTATCGAAAAGCACTTGAAGCGCATTGCTTTGCTATTTTTTTTTCAAATTATGAACCGCCAATCACAGATACGTGCTAAATTAATATATTAGTCAAGAAGACAAGCGCAACAATTTTACTTTCGTTGATTGAAGTGAAGTCATTTTTTTTTTATTTAAAAAAATGTAGGCACATTTAGCGTAATTGTTAACGAACAAATATCGAAAGAAATTACGTCTGTAAGTATTTTATTGTACATAGTTATTTATCTAAAGTTCGTCGGCAGCGTAACAATAATAATAAAAAGTCTGTTATTGTAAATTTAATGCTTGCATAAATAATTGAAAATTAATTTAAGCAAAAAATGAGAACAAAACATTTGAGGAAGAAATAGTAATAACTAATTAGCGAAGTCTTACCTTGTTTGTGAAGCAAAAGAGCGAAATACAATTTCCATATGATTTTCTAATTACTAGTACCCATCCAGAAAACTAAAAAAAGTACCTAATATTTGTCTGACATAATAACTTATTTTAGAAATTATTTTCATCTCTGCTAATTTAATCTAATGGTTGACATCTCGGACGTCAATTATCTACAAGTATTGCCAGTGTTAAAATTGTGATTAATTTGGAGTAAAATACGTATGGAAAACGGTAAAGTCGGAATCTGTCCAGAAAAAAATGTCCGACCATTAGTGTGTAACCTCAAACTAAAAGTGACATATAAAACTTAACCTTGAGTTGAAATGTAAAAATCAGCTGTAAACAATAGATAATTTATTATTTTTCATATATATTTTTGAAGATCACTCCCTTATTTCATTTAATTCCGATTTTTTGTGACATCAGATCCAATTTATCAGACTATTACAAAGTTCTTCCGTCATATCTTTTACCATACTGCTCACTCTTGAAGTCTATGCTGGAGAACTGAATTGGAGTTCCCTTTGAATCGTATCCAATGACAATATTACATACCGTATTGACACAAACATTAGTTCCGGTTTGAGTCGCACATTGTAACTGATGCTTCAGGGTAAAACATTAGGTCGGAAGGTAGCAGCATTCTGCGAGGCGAAGAAATCGGATTCTGATAGTTTCCATACTTTTTTTCGTATTTTGTGTAGGTAATACCCTGTTTCGTTTATATTTTAAAAATTTCTCGCATAAAAAATACAAAAGCTCCTATACACAGTACCCACAGATTTTGCGAAACAACATTGAGCTGCACTTACTGGTAACCTGATACAAAAAGAAAATGCAATCGAGTACCTAAGTCAAAAACCACTCGAGAAACGCGTCGTTGAGGAACAAAATGGCCGTCAGTTCTAGGAGGTACATCGAATAACAACAATTAATTGATAGCTCTGAGCACCTGATATCTATAGACTACCATCGTTTGGCTCAGTCTGGCAGCCCACGTTAAGCCAATGTAAGGATAAGGTAACACTAAACATTACACCGGGGTAAAGTTATTGTTGTAATATTACAATAATTTTTGGAACATATCGGCCAATGATTAATCAACGTGTTCGTTTGGCACAATTTTTGAGCGAAAATGCGAAGACAAGTTCTTAACATAAACAACTAACACCGCACGTTCTTAAGATAAATAACTAACACCGCCGCCAAATTGGCATAGACTACGTTTGGTTAGTTGACGCATTTTTTGTAAGCTCAGAATAAACTACACGCAGAAGCGAGAACATAATTTAAACTTTAACAAACTAATTTATCTGCAAGAAATACAGAAAACTTTATTTCCGACATATTGTTTTGGGTTTCACAACTAACGATGTACTTCAATGCTATAATAAATATTAAGCTTGAATGTAATTGTCGCTTCTTGGTGCTGATTCTGCAGTCTCATCGTGCGAGCTGTTTATTAAGAGCATAAAAAGTATTGAGGATGTTCGTAAAAGTTTTTCAGAACTTGCTCGTTATTGATTTTCGAGTTTTTATTGCTCTGAGTTAATACTGAAGCCGTGTACATTGCTAAGACGATGTAAAGTTCGTAATGTTACAACAAAACGCGGAAAAATGGTTGCGTTCCAAACACATGTAACAATGATATCTATCTACGATAAGCGCTTACCACCTATAATAATAACATAGCGTGTTAAAGTCCCTAAGACCCATTCACCGAATACCGAAACACATAGCAGACGACATTATTCAAACCGAGAGATTACGTAAAATAAATGGAGATTGTCAGTTTCCTCGCGCAATATTTTAAAAACGCCTTCGAACCCTTACTTGTCTGTAACGCAGGCTTCTAAATTTGTAATAATAATAATAAAATCTAATATCGTACATACATTATAACATATACAAATATTTAATTATTAAGTATTAATATAGATATAGTTTCATAGTAATAGACTTTAAAAAGATCACAACACAGAGTTAAAGGTGGCGCTTCCTTTTGAGCGGAGTGGCGCCATTTTTTTGAGTACAAAAAAAAACCTCCCTGACGCCAGTCGTTTGCCCCGGACGACCCGCCCTGGATATATATATGGCACATTTATGCAACGTAGTAGAAAACCTACCGCAATATAATATAGTCGGCAGTCCATTCAGCGCCAAGAGATCATAACCCATTAATCTGCTACTATGGCTTTTGAATTCGCAAAACTCAATAACTAGTTTCCACTCAAATCTCCCTTCACTTCATCTATTTTGTCTAGTAACTGGATAATTCAGTATATATATATTTTTGAACTTTTTTGAACTAATTAACAAGTTCTTCTCGTTCACCTTGCCTCGAAAATAAAAATAGGAAACAAAGAGAAGGAAAAAATGGCAATGTTACCGCGCGGGTGTAGCTTTACTGATAATAACCAACCTTAAATCTTAACCGAAATTGTTAACTCAATTTGAATGAGGCCAATAACAAAACCACAATGTATTTTGTGCTAACTGTTAAGATTCAATCACAGACTATTGCAATGGACTGCATTGTTCGATGAACGGAGATTGAAACCTACTAAAATAGTTTGACATACATTTTTCCTATACCTACCAAGTTAAACGTTAAATCGTATAGAATAGTTAGTACCGTTTTATTTATTTTTTTATTAAAATAACGTCTCTTACTTTTATAGTTTTAAGTCTAGAAGTTTCTGGTATCTATCTACACTGCGCTACCGCTACGAGGATTATAAAAAAACCGGAAAAATTTGTTAAAATGTACGATTGTTGAGCAATTCATCGTCGATCCAATTACAAGTTAGGGGAGGCATTCGACGGGACAAACAACCGACATCAGCGTCATTTAAAATACATACGTATAGTTCGTTAATAATATTATGGCCGTTTTCTGTTACTTCTGATATTTTTGATTAACAACTTGAGTTCAGATCTTATTGCTCACATTTTGTTTTTATTATGCGAAAACCGATTTGCAAAGTGGACCAAGTAAAATCGACCATTTGACTTGCTAAAGGTATTAAAAACCAAGCAAGATTCATAGACCTCAAATAAAATGTTTAGTTTTAAAAGAAATTTTACTTTTGTTTCTGTCACTTAATAGAGAAAGGTGGAATTGAAAGTGGAACAATTTGTCAAAAAGAATTCTAAAGAAAAACGGGGTTTCAAAAAAAACCCAGTGAAAGATGATCTTATAAAAAAAGAAAAATTGAAATAGAAATTTGGTGGATTTGTACATAGACAATTGTCAACTTTTTTCATCATTTGGTTCTTTGTAAACATTTGATCTGTTTTTGTTGTGTGCTTAGAATTGCGCGTTTTAAAATTATTTTTTTTGCTGTAGTTTGATTTTTTTCATGACAAAAAAACATTTATTAATTTTAATAGAAACAGATTATTTTTTTACTATGATAAGAAAATGAAGGGAATTAAAAAAAAACAGGAAAATATCTGAAATAATGGAAGGGTATTTAATAGATATTATGGATAACCGGTTTTAAATTCTATTTAATTGTCCATTAGTCCGTATTACTTTAATGATTGTTTAGCGTTCTGATTCTCAGATCCACACACAGACTCCGAGGTGGTATTAAAAAAATTATTAGAGAAGGGGCCACAAAGTATCCAAAAATATTTCTTCACAAAGACGCGGTAATATTTTAAAAATTATTATCAAAATATTAGAACTTAGGGGCAATCTGCAAGGTCCACTTAGCAAGTCTCTGAGCACTTAATACGTTACCCGACGCTATTTACGGTACCTCGGCTAGTCTCATAGTTTACTGGATAGTACCGGGTGCTCTAATTTTCTTAGTGTAGTGTCTCACTCGACAATCGGAAAGGCACTGACGCCGCGCATGCGCAGCGTGTAACACAACCCCAATAAATATTAAATATAAATCTCTGTACTCTATGGATTGAAGTTCTTATATATTTTCTACTCTACCTATATTTGTTTAAGTTTTTTAAATACCCTAGAAATTTTTTCTTCTCTCTCTCTCGCTTGCTAAATTAATGTCTTTTATATAAAATCTTGCGGTGTATTTTTTTCTTAATAAGTTTAAGGTTTCTTTGATCTGACTCATACTTGTTGCGCGATTTTGATTGCCCGTGACCATGTTTCGATTAAGTTTTTTGTGTTATATATATATAGTATAATTAATGGCGATGGCCAAATTAAGGTAGATACATACCGAAAAAAAATAAAATTATAATAGTACCGAAACAATTTTAAACTACTACATACTAAAGGGGCTTGGCACGGAAAGTTCGTAACTGCTCGAAGAGAGGTCCTTAGTGTCTTTTTCGCTGTTGCGACGTTTCGTCGGTTCCGCGTCGGGCGGCCTGTGGGATTTCATGTGGGCGCTACGACTCTTGATTTTGTTAAATACTCTGAAGCGACAAACGACAATCTCATTTTAGTACAAATAATCGCGTTGCCACGCGAAGCGAAGCCCTTATTTTTTAGTAAACTTTGTATATTTACTTTTATTTTGAAAAAAGAAATACATATTGGGTTTCGAAAACATCAATCAAGCCAAAACGTCAAAAAAGTGTTTTTCTACTCCCGTCTGTAAAATACCTAATTATCCAACGATCTAGCGTGCGTTAAGCGTCACTTTACCACGTCAGTTTCGTTTCTCACGAAGCCGAACCACTTCGGACATTTCCGGAATTTTACAGCACGGATTTGGGAGCGATCGGATGTTTTCGGAGATACTACCCACCCTTTGAATTTTGACGTTTGTCAATTCGGACAGTCATGTCAGTGAATGTATTCGTGTTTTGCGAAAATGTACCCAAAAACTAACGGTCGTAGAAAAAGTATAGTATGCAACACGTTCGGTAATTTTTTTAACTCTAATGCCGTTTACCGTACTTGTTATTAATCTTAAAACAGTATATGGTCATACTAGTAATATTGTCAAAAGTTGGTGCATGTTCGATAATCGTATTAGGTGCACTTAAAATATTTAGAAGTCAAACAGCATATAGGGTTGGACAAAAAATACAAAAATTGCACAAGAGTAAAGTAATATATATATATATATATATATATATATATATATATATATATATATATATATATATAAATTGTATAACATTGGGATAACCCTTTTTTTTACAATGAAGGTTAGAGTAAGCAATGAAAGATCGCAGGTGCTTTTTTTTGTAAATGGCATTTATTCTCACTACTTGCAGCTTTCGCCCAAGATTGTAGGCTTCATCAAGTGCAGTATAAACTCTAAAAGATGTAAAAACACTCGGTACACATCGCAGCCGGCATTCTCTTGTTGATTAATTAATTATTAATTAAAAATGTTTGATTATTAAGAAATTTTATTTCGAATGCCTCCTTATAGACGGTTAACATTTTCTGCGAAAGCTGAGTTAGTTTTAATGTGTGGAGATGATTATAAACCAGTGCGAGAAGTAGCTTCTTCAGTAACTTCAATGGACATCCAAAATAAACAAAGTTACTATTCAACTCTATGTAATGAAGAAAACCAACTAAATGTACTTCAGGCGGTTGTTGAAAATCATCCGCAAGAACTTGAAAATTGATTAAGACTCGCACCTAATATATTGAGATCAATCTTTTGCGAATTTATGATCGCTTAATTACATGCATCGACCTAGAGGTCGACATACCTATAGAAAGGCTTCGATGGCTAAATGGCAGGGTCCGTAATATTAATATTATTATTTATTATAGTAAGTTTTCTCATCAAAAGTAATAATAATTATTTGAAATAAAGATTTTGTTTTGGTTGGTTTGGTTTCTTAAGATGCCTATTATAATTAGCAATGCTCTGCCTATTTAAAAAAGAATTTTTATAAAATTGTGTTATTAAATATCGCCGCAACAATCATAAAATTTGTGTTTAGCTAAAAAGACAAGAAAGAATTGAATAAATGGCAGTAGTGTTTAAAACTACTGAAAAAAAGAATATTATTGTTATTTTTAGAACAAACAATTTTTTTGTCTTAGGCTCTTTTCTTGGGAACATTCTGCTCAATTTTGTCAAATAAGGGTACTATTTTGTGGGTTGTGCAGTTAGAAAAAAAATCCAATATGTTGCACACTAAAATGTCCACAGCGTTACAACCAATATTTAACAAACTAAAACATTATTCAAAAAATTAGATTTAGACATGTTAATACCGTCTTTCACTAACAATTAGAAGATTACTTAACTTGTAATTAACGATTCTTATTAAGGAGATTAGAAAATGCAAAATGCATTTTTTTTTGCATTTTTTGCCTGTTTTCTACAAACATTTTTTCCAATCATAGAGCATTTATTGCATTTTATTGCCAAATTGATTGAATTAGGCACTATAGGGTATTCCCAGTAAAAGCAAAACTTTCTTTGTTAAATTGATGAAATAATATTGCAAAACGAATCCGATAGTTCAAACGTGAGACATATTTATGCGCCTTGTTTTGTAAAGTGAATTGAGTCTGTGTTTATCTATCCCGCATATGTTAAAATGCCGAGAACTGACTTGCAAATATGTCGTGGATAAAAAGTTATCTGGAGTTTACTTGGGATGGCACCTGTTTCCTATCAACTTTTTATAAATTTTATGAATCGTCCCCGGTAATTAAATTGTTTACACATATAATGTACTTAAATTTATTTAATTTCTAAGAGTGGAACCAATTTCAAAATATCCAGGTAGAAAAAACCTACAAGACACCTTTGTTAAACAAATAATATAAAAATGTTAGGAACGTTAGTTTAATAGAAACATTGGTTTTATAAAAAATCTCATTTTTATATATTTTTATCTGCATGTTGCTAGATATCACTATTTTCTATAGACACGAGATTTTTTTTTTGTAAAATAACAATAACAATAACAAACGGCTAAGTTAGTTTTGTCAAATATACAGAAAACCAGAATAGTGACTTTTCTCTAGTAGTCGACTGTAAGCAAGGATTTATTTATTTTTAAAATCTATAAGGAAATTTTCCCAAATGTACAACTCGGGCTTTCAGTCGGACAAATCGCTATATTTAGACCCGCAGGACTTAGGAATAGGATATTGTTTTATACAGCAAAAAATTGTAAGCATAGGTAAACCATATGTTCACATTTATTATTTTTTTCAGCATATAGTAAAAATAAGAAATATATATGTTTAATTACGTATTGAAGCAAATTATTTTCAGCTAATGTTAACAATTTTAACGTATTTACAAAAGTTTTCTACTCAAACATTTTATTTGGTACAAGTAGGAACGATTTCTTTAGGATCATTTTTTATTGGATTCAGACAGATATTGCAAAAAAGTCTCAGGTACGATTGCGTCATTAAAAAATTGTCAGAAATTGAAAGTAAAAACTGGCTTCAAAATCCCAAAAAATATTTTAGGAGTTTTTATACAGAATTTATACTAATTTCGAAAGTATAAATAACTGCAAGCAATAATTTGTTAACTCACGAATTGTATATTCTGCAAGTTGCTATTATCGGAATGTGTCAATGGTATTTGTGAATTATTAATTGTATAATTTTTTTTATAATCGCAAGTAATATTTGGTCACTGTAAGATTTTTACGTTTTGCAGTTTGCTATGTTAGTATCAATACAAAATTTTAATTTTAATTTTTTCATTGAATGAATATATTCAAATGGGCGTGCGGTATCGGTAGAAAATTAACATTAATGTTCACAATTTTTTGTGTAATAAAAATGCATATTTGTATTTTATGAAAATGAATGAAAAAGTGAAAAGTTATATGCATTTCAATGCGCATATATTGGGGTGTTCCGTTTGCAAATACTTGATGGTAGTACTGTACCCGTATATAAGACTATTTACGTTGACCATTTGATAATTTGTTTCGTTTTTAACATGACTCATTTTGTTTAACCCAAACAGATTTATTATTTAACGGGAATTCATATTTTGAGAGCGACTTATGGAGTATCCAAAATATTCGACAAGATAATTAACACTCGATTTAAGAGGGAAAATGTCAAAACGCTCAGGAAAGTTTTTTATTTTTTTACTAAAAAGGGCTTCGCTTCGCTCCGATATTTCTTTGTTAACTTAGACAGTCAGTAAAACAATATTCTATTTTATTTATCTGTTTTGTTTAACGTGACTTAATTAATGGCACTACTTTTTAAATTACGCTCAAGCTTGTGCAATATCATTTTACTACTTCTAAGGTCCAAGTCTAGATTCTAGTTATCTCAGAGACCGTTCGAGCGTGAAAGTTTGTGCTCTAATGTCTATAGGGAAGTAAAACACTAATACTGCGATTAATGGAAAAAAGAGAAGAAGCAGGTAGAAGTGTTAGTTGTTGGAGTTTTTTTTAACGAGATCGGTAACGATTAACATTGCGAATTGCGAGAGCCGCAAAAAATTACGTTTTTTCCTCGCGGACCAAAAAAAAAACATAATTTTTGTATTAAATATTCCAGTTCTTAGAAAATGTAATTGATCGGATCGTCCATTACTATGTTGTGACTTGCTGACGTGCGTTTGTTGTGGATAATTAATTTTGCCATCAAAAACTCCAGTACAGCGTAGAGTAAGACAGTAGTGAGCTTAAAAAATAAAACACTGCATGCTCGTAATGTTTCCCAACTAAAGGCACACGTATAGGTAACTGGCGATTGTAGGTAAACGACTATAAATAAAATAACAACGACGCAATGCCTCACTGAGTTTTTGGAGGTACAGAAAAAGCGTATCAAATTGGCATTGGTTTGCTTCCTGTTCTTTCTTCCAGCCCACTTCGATTTTCCTCTGTCCGTGATGTTCGAGAGCAAGTTGTCGTTCATGAGAAAAATAAAAAATGCTAAATCTTATTTAATCAAAAAGCCAGAACTCAAACGAATTAAAATATAAACATGTATGATGATCTATATTGATTTGGCCTTATGAGTAACTTGATAATAGGGAATTAATATATTATATAAACACCACTTAGGATGTTGATTTTTATTTTCCTTTTTCCTACATTTTGCTTTTTTGTTTACCTTCAGATCTCTAGAAACAAAAAAATTACAGCTTAAAATTTTTTGAGAAAGTAAAGATGCCATGAACAACATTTTCATAGCCTTTTGGTTTTTAGGATACAGAGATTGAACATTTCACGCACTCTTCATACCTCAACTACATATATTTTTCTCTACAACTCAATTCTGCCTTCCGAATTAGTATACAGAGTCAGGCCAAGAAGTTATCGCACTTTCCTTTTTTTTGTCTTTTTTTTACCTTCTCAAAAATATCTAATACTATGCATTTTATCCCACAAACAAACAAATACATGACAATTTTAGAAAATTTAATCCATAATGTAATAGTAAGCTATCGTTATTTTTTATGAACAAGAACAAAAACAAACGTCAAATATTTTCAGCGAGTTATTTTTGGATCGACTTAAAGCAGCTTATTCTCGTTTCTTTATGCTAGTATGTTTTAGACATAGAAGTGATGTGAGTCGGTCAAATGGCTTGGTCATATGCTTTTGTCATGGCACCATGACGGTCACGTTGAAATCAATTGCGACAATCAGTCATTTAAAAATAGAACTCTACTTTTTTGTTTTGTTATCAAACTTTTGAGCTTGGGAGCTGCTGCACAATAAGAGGTAAGCTTTCGTCTGTAATTTGATAGAATAAAAGGTAAATGTTTTGGATCAGCAACTTTCAACTTGGAAAGTCTATGTATTTCATGTCAGCAAAATGACAACACACTCAGCTGCGATAAATACGCCGACAATGTCAAAAATATCCTTTGAAAAGAAAAATACACGCCATTAGATACCCCAAATGTAGGGGCTATTTGGAAATATATTGCGAAAGTCTATATTTAAGCTGCCTACTCCATACATCTTGTGGAATATGAACGAAGTTTATGCCGTGGTAGAAGCATCCGTTCATTGATGCTTGGACAAATATACGAAATTGAATGTTATTAATTTCATAGTCACTACCCAACTCGCCTGTATTTTATAAAATATTTTGGACCGAAGAAAATAGATATATGGGAGAATATATAGGCCGCAAGATAAGTGAAGTATTTGAAGAAATTGTATTGTGTGTGTTATTATGTATTATGTATGCATGTACTGAATGTGCTTACGAGGGATCTTATGAAATTCAACCCGGTTAATATAACGGTAAACTCTGACAAGTCGATAGTAACAAACAATAAAAAAAGTAGTGTTAGGTGTATCTTTCCCGAGGATTGAACTAGAGAAACTGAAAACTAATGAGAGGAAGTCTCTAAAAGTACCAACCACCACTAGATGAGCATGTATAATCAAGCGACTTGAAATTATGAAAGAAAACAAATGTGTGTTGCAGATTTTTACAATAAGCGATGAATCACATGATTTGGAAACGATCGACAGAACATTCTTGATGATGATATATTTTGGATTAAAATTAATAATTTTTTTTTGAGTCTACCGAGAAGTGGATAGTTAAACTTAACTTAAACTTAAAATTAACATACGTTCACCATAATTTAAATTTACTTAATGATAGTTTGATGAACTCTTTGGAGTTGATGAATTTAGTTCTATAGTGTCAAAGGGATTCCGAAGAAGATTCCGGTGAATGCCAAAAAATAACGGAAATATCTGAGAGTGAGACTGATCCAGATTATTTGTTATCAAATATTCTCAATCTCATTTATTTATTTTTTATTTTTTAGAAATACTTGTTTTGTTTTTAAAAAGAATTTCTTATGTTCCTGTTCCGGCCAGTTTTAAGATAGGAGTTTGTTGTGCTATGTTATTTTATTTATATCTTTTATCATCATAAAATATGCGTAAATGTATATTTAAAAAAGTATTACAAAAAAAAATTAATTTTAGGAAGAAATATCCACTAAACTCCTAAATGACATATGTGACTAGTAAATTACGGTCAAATGATATGAAATTTAAATGACGGTCATTTTATATTACTGATATAGAATAAAGTAAAGTAGAATTATATTTCCAAAGGTGAGTAAGCATGAAAATCTCTATCATTATAAGTTTGGGCTTGTCAGATATTGAAAACTCAGATACTCTGTCTAACTTTCATTTATTATTGTAATTCATTGCCTTTCATTAAAGCATTTATTTTGAAAATTAAAAAAAGAAAATATTTAAAAAGGTAAAAAAAAGACAAATTTTCTAGTCTATAAATATTCAAGGTTTAAAAAAAATAAAGTAGGCTGACCTGGCCCTATATACTAATTTCGAAGGCGGAATTTACAGTTTTCACATTTCTTAGTTATTTGATAGTTGAGATACGAGGGGACCTAAAAATTCCATATTTCCCATTTAGTATCTTAAAAACTAATGGAGCTATGAAAATTTTATTAACGGCATCTGTAGTTTCACGAAAAATTAGTACACTGTCGAGAAAACCGGAAATTTATATGTATAAAAATTACGGAGATAGCCCAGCCCCTCAAAAGTACCCAAAAACGGGACCCCCCCGTACATACATTGGACAACGAATGTAAGGGTAGAGCAGTGCACGCTTAAAAACGCATTTGTTAGCACGTGCGTTATAATAATTGCGGTTTTAAAATATTGGTTAAACGTCTTTCGCAATGACGTGGTGGTGGACGTACTGGTAGTTTCGTGACATAAGCGACGTTGCCACATTTACGGTTTTTTTCCTTAACCATACTTCCTTGGTTTAAATAGAAAGGGTATGTTTTAATGAATGAATTTATTTAATTAAATTATGCCAATTTATGAACCACATAATTAGTGGTATTAACGAATTGGCAAATGTCAAAAACAATAAAAACTATTTACAAACAAAGAAAAAAAGTGCTCAAACGGACGTCCTTCTGCAACTTGACAATGTTATAAGCGGTCTGTAAATTCCCGTACCATATTTCAATGTTAGAACTCGAATTTCGGTGTTTAGTTTTTGTACGCATCAGTTTTAACGTGACCCCAAAGAAAATAAACTAGCGGATTTAAATCTCGCGAACGAGGCAGCCACTCGATAGTCACTTCCCAACATTTGAGTCAATTGCAGTTGTGCTCTAGTGGGGAGGTACTTCATTTTCTTGAAAGAGTGTAATCTTTTTCACCGGTGAGAATGCCATTGATAAAGAAAGGCCCTATAATTTTTCCACCAATTATTTCAACCCATACATTTAGCTTTTGAGGATATCCAATGGTGATTTTCGATTGACCAATATTGGCAAAAGTCGCCTCATCCATAACACCACCACAAAATTCCATCCGCCGATCTTAATTAAATTCAAGTTAATTAATTAAATCAGTATAAGGTATGTTACATGAAGAATACTTAGTTTTTCAAGAGCAATACAAAAATAGAATACAAAGATACAACATATTCTATTCTATTTAAAATAAGAAAGTTTGGTAGCTTGAGGAAAAATTGTGTATGTGGCAACGTAGCCTATGTCGCCATTAGCTTAATTAGATTCCCCCTTAAATAATAAATTGAAGTCTAATACTTCCTGTTCGACTTTTGTCTAACCCGCTATAGCGGAACCAAGCAAAATATTCGCGATCGCTAAAAATAAGTAGCAACGAACTTAGGAAAGAAACTAAAAGAAAAAACACAAACCAATACCAATCTGACCAATAGAGGTAGAGATCACCTTTCGTCCGCTCACTGGATGTTGTGTCGAACAAATAACGTGAGAAGTATAAACGGATAGTATATATATATATATTAGCACGTAAGCAGAGGACGCAACAACACACCGATCATTTACCTGTGATTGGATTAGAGCTTTGAATTGACGAATTGATGATTGAGTAGGTGGTAGGTAACTTACTTCCCGCATATCTTACAGGGGTACTCTTGGTCGGTCGAGTCAGGATGACAGATCGTCGAGCTGACCGATGACGTCGTCGTCGACGATGACGACGGACCGCCCATGTTCCGTTGTTTGTCGGACGCTATCGACGACGGCGTCGGGGAATTCCGGGCCGTTCCGCCGTGGATTCGGATGTGACCGTTCAAGGCCGCTCGCGAGTTGAAACTCTACAAATAACGACGATATTGGTACATAACCATAAAATACGAGTAGGCGATCCAAACCACGTGATCAAGTATGGTCGTCTAGGGTAAACAATTGTAGTAGATCGGGTGTGATGACGTTCTATTTTGCATATTATTAAAAGAAAATCCCGATATTGGTGACAGATAATATTAAGAAACTGTACAATAGTTGGCGTTGTTTACCTTATGAAATGTTTTTTTTGTTAGTTATCAGGTGAACTGCATTTAGTGGATGATTTAGATCTATTTAATGTAAATTTAGAAACTGTTCTCAATGCTTTTTGGTATTGCAACCAATGTTCTGATTCAGAATAGAATTTAAACAAACAATGAAAACAATACTTTCGGTTTTTACTCCTAGCTTTCATTAAAACAGATGTGAGTGGTTGTTATATTATTATAACTTGTGTGTAATAGTTCCAATTTAAGAAACAAACATCATTGTAATATTAATTTTATATTACATTTAAAATGTTGGTCTTTACAGCTCACACAATTGTTAATTAATATTTTAAGATAGGTATTTTAAAAGTACAAATTTTAAAATAACATGCCAAACCTTTAAAGTCTGGATTCAGTCTTTATAACTTTATAAAGGTGATGATCAACTGATTAAAGAAACGTAATGCTGTAGTACTGGGGACGTATTCCTTTATCAAATGAATATTTAAAGCCAGTTTAATATTTCCATCTGTTTATATTTGATGTATCACCCATTTAAGCATATGACGATTTTTCTTTCTTCTTTGTTCTAAAATATTCAATTTTTTTCGCTGCAAAAGTGTTCCAATATTGGAGTCAACGATAAATTCGTTTGAGTAGATTTTCCAGTACGTTGAGTCTTATTTTTTTTGTTTGTTTTTTCGAACTGCAAAAATCTTATTCGATCGCGGTTTCAATGGTTTCCACAACCAACCACAACATAAGTTGAAGGCATTGTCAACCTTTTCCATATTTTATGTCCTCAAAAGTAATATAATATTACTACACCAACGAAACCGAATCTTTTACACAATACCCACCAAGAGATAAGAAAAGCAAAATACACTGTTAATCCAAGCTTTTATAGTTTAGAAAACAACCAAGCACTTAACGGACACAAAATGAGATTATATGCCAAAAAACAAATAGTTTTGCTTACAAAGAAACTTTTTTTTTGGCCTAGGAAGCCATACTGAATTTAATTTGCCAGGTCGCTGGATTGCCTAATTTCGACAGTAACAAACAAAATTCCTGTCGATTTACGATACGCAGTGATGAGCTAGATAAAGAGGTCATTTTATGACGTAACTATACAATTGCTCTGACTGGACACAGAATGTATTGCTATGTATTCAAAACCATAGGTAAAAATTAGAAGTTTAACTCAATATATGTTAACAAAATGGCTTGCTAATATTTAGTTAAATATTATCCATAAACAGTAAATAGCTATTTTTGTAACGAGATTTGATAACCCAAAAATTGTGCAAACATTTTGTTCTTTAATTTGTTTTATTCGGGCTTTCGCAGCTTTAAAATGTAAGAAATAAAATGCTCCAGTAAATACATCATACATATTACGTTTGGTTATGATGTTATTAAAATCCAATACCGAATAGCAAGAAATTCCATTGGAAATCTTATAGTTCATATGTTACTACAAAAGAATTTTTTTTGTATAATATATGGGATATATACTCGTACAGCAAAAGTTTAAAAATTTCACTCTATATGAATTGCAGCCTAAATCGTTAAAAAATTTCACTCTATATTTTTCTCTCATTCGAGGCTGTATTTTAATAAAATAATTCAACGGATCCATTTTATTTCATTATAATGGGTGTTTTTATTTCGATGTATACAACTTTAAGTTGGAATTATTGTTCAAGATGGCGACCGATTTAACAGCTGTCAAGTGATTTATTCTCAGTTTGGTTTGGCAATTCATCATGAATAGACTCACGCCTGAACAACGCTTGCAAATAGTGCAATTTTATTTCAAAAATAATGGTTCTGTAGGGAATACGTATCGCGCACTACGTCCATTTTATCGTCCATCAGAGCAGTTAATTCGATTAACCATGGAACATTTTCGCATCACGTTTACTCTTATTGATAACTCGCATCCCCATCCGTACGGTGCGCACCGAAGAAGTTATTGCTGCTTTTGAGCGTAGCATTGAGGAAGACCCGAATGAGTCCATCCGCCATCGAGTACAGGAATTGGATCTGTGTCCATCCACTTTATGGAAGATTTTGCAGAAGGATCTTGGTTTACTTGCTTACAAAATCCAACTCGTGCAAGAATTGAAGCCAAACGATCATCAAGTAAGGCGTAGATTCGTCGAATGAGCCCAAAACGAGATTGCCGTTGTTCCCGATTTTCATAAGCGAATTTTGTTTAGCGATGAAGCGCACTTCTGGTTGAATGGCTACGTCAACAAACAAAACTTCCGCATTTGGAGCGAAGCTAATCCTCGAGTGTATGTCGAAACACCGTTACATCCAGAAGAACTGAATGTTTGGTGCGCTTTATGGGCTGGTGGAATCATTGGTCCGTACTTCTTCAAAAACGATGATGACCAGAACGTTACAATCAATGGTGATCGGTATAGACCTATGATTACTAACTCTTTCATTCCTGAATTGAATAACCATGACGTCCAGGAGATGTGGTTTCAACAAGACGTCACAACATGTCACACAGCTCGTGCCACAATCGATTTATTGAAAGACACGTTTGGTGACCGCCTAATTTCACGTTTTGGACCTGTGAATTGGCCTCCAAGATCTTGTGATTTAACACCGCTAGACTACCTTCTGTGGGGCTATGTAAAGTCATTGGTCTATGCGGATAAGCCACAAACGCTTGACCATTTGGAAGACAATATTCGCTGTGTTATTGCCGATATACGGCCACAAATGTTGGAAAAAGTCATCGAAAATTGGAAGTCCAGATTGGACTACATCCACGCCAGCCGTGGCGGTCATATGCCAGAAATCATATTTAAAATATAATGCCATAAGATTATCTTTCGGATAAATAAAATTCATGTCAATCGAATAATCCATCGTTGTTTTATTGCAAATTAAAGTTCTATATATCTAAAAAAAACACCCCTTATAAATACTAAAGTGGTTAGTTAATGCATTTTAGTTCACTGTAGAGACTGTTCAGCTCTTCATTATTTACGAAAGACCTAGTCTTACTTTACTAAAAGAGCTGATACCAACATTTTTCTACATTTAACTCTAGTTTGTTCTTCTGGCACCAAACACAAAAACAATCAAGATTTTACAAACTATTAGACAACCTGCAAATTTTAAGCGGTTGCTATTGATAAAATATGTAACAATATCATTAACAAAAATATTGAGCAATGTCCACCCTGAGGAACACCAGATGTGACGTGATTTACATCAGAAGAGTATATAATTTTATGTTTTTTTTTTGCGAATTTGTCACAAAAAGTCATTTGGTGTCTAAGCAACCGCAATCGTCTTACCTTAACGATGATTAAAATAATATCTTAACGACTACTTATTAAAATGAGTTAATCGTTTCCTTGCAAAACACATTGAACAAAAAAAATGAATTTGTCTCATCTTTAAAACAGTACTCACTCACGCAGGATTTGAAATTCAAACTGACAATTACGCCCCCTGGTAGAAATTTGAAAAGCATTTTCCCTTGTCCTATTATTTTATCGTTTTTATTTTAATTTTATTATTTTGTTTTGATACCACCTTTAGCCGATTTGTAGATCTAGTTGTCGAAATGGTGTGTGAAGTAATGAAATAGTATTCATGTTTATTATAAAAGCGATTGTTAATTGAAAAAAAATGGACCAAATTTATTTTTCATTTACTCACTGCGGAGCAGTCTGGGTATTCGCAGGCGAAATTCCTCATTGGAGATTCGCTATCCGCAATCTAGAAAAAGAGAACTATATTTGAAAAACCGATCCCTATCGAACAGGGAATAGTACACCTACCCCTAACAATCTCACGTCCGGATACGGTTTCTCGTCGCTCTCCATTTGCGAATTGTTGTGGTTCCTTTTCAACTGCCTGACCGCTTTCAGCCTTCCGTATTCGTCTGAACAGACCTTTTTCCATACGTAATAAAACTGGATGCACTGCTTTGCGGTTTTGGTTTTGATCTGAGGATGAAAGCGTTTAGGCTCGGTTCGAAACGTAGAGTAGGAATCGACTACGCGTACCTCGTCCGAAATTCGGGCGAAATCCTTGTCAAACTTGAGCAGAGCCCGATGGAAGACCTCGGTTTCCAACGATGACCATTTGTCGCTTTCACTGTATTGGTAGGCTAGGAGGGGATGGTCTGCCGGCAGGTTCGGGGATGGTTGCATTAGACGAAGCATCGCATCCTGAAATGAATAACGATGTGAACAATTCTTCTCTTTACCCCGTGCAAATTACGATAGAAGTGAAGCTGTTCGCCGGAAAATTCAATATTCATTGTCGAAATACACCGCATCCTTCTCTCATTGGAAGGAATGTGGGATCCAGACAACAACCGCTAAATTGGAGAATCGGAAAGATAAGATGCTTCTTAGTCTTATTGTTTTAATGAATCTGTAGGCGATTGGTTGTAGAATCTGACTGTATAAAGCACGTCATATTATAATACGACTGGCAGTGTGCCACATTTTTTAAAGACCTCTTGGTTTTGAAAATAACCTTAAAGCTTGACCTTTGGAATATTAATTACATCATCGAATGGAATGGAATCAATTTGGTAAACATCAAAGATATTGTTGGGATCCAAATATCCTCTATTTACTTTAGCAACTTTGCTACAGATTGACCTATGTGTGGCAAAAAACAAGAGTAACGAAAAATGTAATTCATGCAGATCAATAATAATCAATTAATAATTAATGGTGCCATATAAAGTATTTTTCCATGTAATCGGAACACGCAGATATTCTATGAATGTTCATCAGCGAATATATATTGTTTCAAATCCCATAAATATTAAGTAATTGAAAATATCTTCTACCAATCTGCTGACATATGTTGGCTTTCATATATTTAATAAAGAAAATCTGATGAATAACTAAAACCAAATATTATTTTTCCTATATTCATAAAATATTCGATGGGCGACATTACAAAAAAATAACTTAAAGATTTTTAAGAGTGTGGAAAAGGCGCTGGACAAACTTCTAAACTGGTTTGGGTATAACGTGACAATCATTTCGTATAGAAATTAAAAAAAAAAAACTACTCATGCAAAGTATCAAACCACTTGCTACTGCGGTGGATCAGAATCAGTGCTTTTTTGATCTCTGGGATCGTCTCAGTCCAGTATGAGTACGTTCATATCGTTCTCTCTTTTTGTTACTATAAAGAGACAGATGGTATGAAATACACTAAGCGAGGTTTGGTGAAATTATGACGTGTGTCTGTTTGAATTGTGAAATGAAGCTAAATAAATATATTTTAATAAATCAAAAAGTGATCATTAATTTGGGTCTACTGTATATACCCATCCACCTGCAAAACTAGGAATGTTTTTAATTTTAAGTGAGCAAGTGACTATTACAAAGTTGGGTTATGTTATCGAAAACGATGCCACGTCTCCGCCACTTACATATGTAATAACAAGTATTCTATGATTTTACGATTTTGTAAAAGTCTTAATTGGAAAGTTAATTTTTGGGGTTTCAATTGCAGAAACAGAACTTGGTATAGGCATATTGAAAATGAGACAGCTACATAAATGCAAATCTTGGAAAAAACAAAGAGAACCAGACCAATTATTCGGATGAGGGTTCGGCTTCCTATGAGGTAATTAAATCTCCTTCAAGTAGTGGCGAACAGTTATTTATGGACATTCGTGGGAATAAAAAGTCTGAGGAAACTATATTTCTGGTCTTGGCAACACCATTTCCATTGAAATGTTTAATATTTTTTAACATAATAAATCATATTTTTACAGATGCTTAAAAAAAATTTGTTAGACTAAAAATGGAATTAACCGGTAAAAAGTTTCGAATCGAATTTTTGACGTGGACTATCAAGAAAAGAATGCAATGGTTAACTTAATTCTTTACATGGCGATGGAGCACCGTGAAAAATTGGTTTAACGAACTCAATCATAGTCGACGTTCGCTCCAGGATGAATTTTATGAGGGTCGTCCAAAATCACTTGTTGTGCCATAAAACATGGATGCTGGGTGTGAACTGATAAGATCATTAGTACGCTCATAAAAAGGCTCGTGTCGATTGGGGCAAAAAATATCAACGTGGTACTTCAAATCATACTTCAGTACTTCAAACTATCATATCTGCACAGGTGACGAATTATGGATCTATGCATATGAGGCTGAAACAAGACTGCAATCGACTGTATGGGTCCTTCAAGACGAACAAAATCCAACAAAAGTTGTTCGCCGAAGAAGCACATCGAAGCAAATTGTGGTCCATTTCTTCGGTATTACTGGTCGTGCGGCTGCAGCGGCGTTAGAGCAACGTAGGGCGCTGAATTCTGAATAGTACACTACCATTTGTTTGCCAGAAGTCATCGAAAAAAATCGTCACATGAATCAAAAGAGATTGCATCATGACTTTTCCAGCTCTCACACATCAACTTAAAACAAAGTGGTTTTTAATCAGCCAAAACATTGAGTTGACGGGCTATTCGCCGTACAGTACTGATTTGACACCTAATAACTTCTTTTTATTCTCACACATTAAAAAAAAGTTATGTGGTCAACGTTTTTCTACGCTCGAAGAAGCGGTTGATGTGTTTTGAAGCTCACTCAATCTGAGTGGAAAAACTGCTTCAACGATTGGTTCTAATGCATGGAGAATATTTAGAAAACATTAAAACCAAAAAATTATTAAGAAAATTTTAACAATTACATAATTGGATATTTTGTTTTGCTGTAATCTAAAATAGTCCGTGTGTTCTTTTAGATGCTGTACAAAAAGTGGGACCAAGGACGACAGCCAACGAAATTGAACAACTTTCAAAGACTTCAATTTCAATGGATTATTTCAATATATTTGCGTAATATTCTCTCATTGCCATTTGCCAATAGTCAGCAACAAATATTGAAGAAGTATCGAACATTCGTTACAAACATTCTATGCAAAGGCAAAAAGCATTCTTAAGATTATTCAGTAGATATAATTCTCCTCACTTACGTGAATGTTTCCGCCACACATGTGAAGCAGATGCATCGCATATTCCTTGTTCCTTCCGCCTCCTGGTACCGCTGCGCAACATGCGAAATCTAGATACATTTCAACTGCAACAGAAGCGTCGTTTAAGTTTCGTCGGCTCCTTAAACGAACATCGTTGCTGAAGGAGACTTATTACCTTCGTTGTCCGAACAGTTGTTTATGCCCGGATCCCATAACAAATCCTCGTGCATCGGTTCCGGGTTAGTTCTGTTCCGGGACAGCGTGAACGAAGGGATCGTGCACTGAAATTGTGGACCTATGTTTATATGCGGGGTGGAGTCCGTTTCGGGGATAGGGTCGTTCGTCCAATTGGACCCGTCCTCGCAGAATTTCTGCTTCAGGTTCGCGTACAATCCGGTGCCGGCCCTTTGAGGGTTTAATATCGGCTGAGGGGTGTACTGCGACGAACCTTGGGGCTTACTTCTCGTCGCTCTTAGCTTGGATTGATGGAAGACCGGTAATTGAAGAGGTTCCGTTCTCTGTCGTTTTCTCGATATTCTCAAAGTGTTTGTCGTTGGTATCCTAAAAAGTTTATTTATTAACATTAACTAACCAAATATTTCGAATTGTGAAAAATGTATGCGGTACTAGAGTGCGATGAAAGAACAATCTAGATATCAAAATAAATTAGAACTAAAAGTTCAGATTTTCACGAAATTATATATTTTGACATGACAACACCGTGTCTTTATCAAATGTAATATTTACAAATAACCTGCTACTATATATACCGAAAAATGACCATAAAACCTTAATTAATGTTGTTGTGAGAATTTAAATTCAATAAAGGATCGTTAAGCAATACATTTGAATGGCAGATTTTGTTAATTTCCATTACTTCCAATAAATTTAATTTTCTACATTTTGTGGCTGTATGTAAAATATCAAAATTGTCGTCAAAAATGTGTTTTTCTGTGTTTAAGTGTGTAGCATAATTAGAATCCAGACTATGGTTTCTAAACGCTCTTTTATGTTTGTTAAGGTGTTTCTTGTCGGATCTACCTGTTTTTGAGATTTTGGGCATTTCGTTTTATTGTTTTTCAAATATGTTCCTATTGTGTTGTTAGTTCTGAACGCTATTTTTAAACCACATCTTGACAAATGTTTTCAAACTTTTTCAATTTTCAATTGTTCGTGTTCTGTATTAGGTTTCGGATAAATAGATTTTACTCTTGTCTGTATTTGTTTTTTATTTATAATTTTATCTATAATGGACAGATTGTAGCCGTTGTTCAGTGCAATTTGTTTAATGATATTAAGTTCTTTGTTGTAATTTTCTGTTGAGAATGGCGTATTAAGAAGTCTGTATATAAAATAGTGAAATGCAGCAGCAGCATGCAAAATGCAGCCATTTTGTGTGTATAAGGGTGATTTGAGCTGTTATGTATGACTGTGTCCGTGTGTGAAGGTTTATGATATATTGAAAAATCTAATTTGTGTTGCGCTTTCGTAATAGTTAAGTTAGTTAATAGAGTCATCCTGTTCAATCTCGATAGTGAATTTTATACGATTATGTAATGAGTTAATGTAATTTAAACAAAAATTCACTCAGCTAACAAAGAACTAAGTGGGTTTCCCAAAATCAAACCTTCTTTAGAGATATAAATCTGTCCATTAAATTCAAAATAATTTTGGTCTAAAGATACTATTAAGCAATCAAATAAATCTTATTTCACCAATAGGTTAACCTGTTTCCGAGTTAGAGTGAAGTCTACTAAATCTATCATATCCATAGATGGAATACTGGGAAATAAGTTTTGTACATCAAAAGACAATAGTGTTGCGTTAGAAGGGATTTTGATATCTTTAATTTTGTCGATTAATTCAAAACTATTTTTTATTGCAAATTTTGGTTTAAAATCTGTGTGGAACTTTAAAATATTTACTAATTTTGTCGAGAGTTTAACTGCTGAAGCCATTACTGGTGTAATGGTATATCTTGTTTATGTAATTTAACTAAAGAATGTAATTTCGGCGGTTGTGGATTCATAATTGGTGTTTTCGAAACAATTGTCATGTCAAAATATATGATTTCGTAAAAATCTGAACTTTTAGTTCTTATTTATTTTGATAAATGGATTGTCATCAAGTAAAAGCCACCTCAGTTCAACAATCTAGATATGTCGGTGTAACCAGAAATATTATTTTTTCCAGAATTTCACCGTCGTTGTCAAAACAGCACCATAAAACTTCAGCAGGACACTTACGTTGTAGGACTAAGGAAGACGCTATTGTTATCTTCCTTCTTCACTTCGATCACTTGCTTGATCCGATGAGGAACTGGTTTCGTTGATGCGTAATGAAGAGTCTTGTTTGTTTTAAGCACTTTCGCTTTTTCCTGACCGGAAGCTTCCTGAGTTGTGGTGACTATCTGCGCGTTCGCAACCAAAAAATTCTTCGTCTGGAAGTTACCCCCTCCCGTTTGGATCAGTTTGATCTCGCCGTTCGAGTCGAGCAACAGTCCGGCGAAATTCGTGCTGTTCAGTTCGATCAGGCCGTTGTTGCTTATCAGTCTGACGGGAACTCCGTTTAGTTCGAACCTCTTCTTAGGAACAAAGTCTTTCGGTTGGCTGGACAACAGCGGGTCGTCCGAGTTGGGAAGCATTAGGCCGGTACACCACTGATTCGACATCGATGACGTGTTAGGTGTCGGACTGAAGGTCGCGGAAGTGTGAGGAGATGGTTCGGAGGTGGTTACTATAGGAGACGGTACGGGAGTCAGACCGAGCGAATCGTTCTCTGCTTTAAGAGACAACGGTGTGTTCGATAAGGGATAGATGTTATCCTCGGTGATGCTTTCTCCGGGCAAAACCTCTTGGATCGCTTGCTCTACGGCGGCCGAGCTGGACATCGTGCTGGTGTAAAAAGCCGCCGACAAGGGGGAGGATGCTTGGGGCGGTTCGTCTATACCTGGTAAAGATTTCGATTCGACGGAACGTCACATTTCAAATACCACTTACCTCTTTCCACGACCTGACCAAAGTCCTGGGTGGGCGATACCAACGGGATATTCAAATTCTGGGCGAAACAAGGACTCTGGCCCTCGTGGCTAGCCGGTGGCGTCGGATAGGCGAAACCAGGCGAATCATGTTTCACCAAAGGACTTTGCAATGGGGAATGCGACTGATAACTCGGCGACTGTATGTCCAATGCGTTGGAAGAATGGTACGTGCTAAATTCGGCCAGACTTTCTGGTAAAGGCGAGTTTAGTACCGCCTGCAGGTTTTGATTAACCGCGTTGCTGCCCGGAAAGGAAGACGATTGCTCGGACACCGAGTCATCCTGCAGGCCCGCTATGTCGTCTAGGTTCAGTTCTTGCAGCTGTCCGTCGTTGTCGTCTTGCAGGAGCGAGTCCGGTTGGAATTGTATCTGGGCGAGTTGGCTGGGATCCACCCCCTGAAGGATCATAGTTTCGTCGGTGAAAACCTCGTCTTGTAAGCTGGGGGTAATGAATTGGGGTTCGTCGTTTTGCAAATTTTCGACTGTACCCAAGGAAAACGAATCCGACCGAAAGTGTAGCAACTGAGATTGCGACAATTGGCCGGGATCAGATGTTGTACGCTTGACGGACACCTTCTCCCTCTTGAGGATCAGATCCGCTAACGCTTCGGCTTCTTGTTGCGTTTTGGACGACTTCAGTGTCTCGGCGTCGGAATGTCTACGAGTCTTTTCCAGTGAATGTTGGGGCGGAGCGGGTACCACGAAAGAGGAGATCTTTTTGTCTAAGTCGATCGGAGCTGACGACACGGTCTCTTGACTGCTGCCGCTGCTGGGAGAGCTGGTGGTGATCCTTTTGTTGATGATTTTCTCTTCGATCAGGGCGCGAACGCTCACGCTGGCGGTTTGCAGTGGCGGCCCGGTCTGGTCTTTTTTCTCGTTCTTTTTGCTATCTGAGTCCTGCGGGCATACACTTATATAGAGAGACATAGCCGATCGAACGAGCTCGGGTAGCGTTGGTGGTGGTACAATGACTTTTTTCGGGCATTTGAACTAAATTTTAAATGAAATTTGATAAAGTTAACTTTTAACAAAAATTATATTAAAATAAATAGAGTAAATTTCTTATATAACAGGATAAGCCCGGCCTGGCTAAAATACAATATGCAGATGGAGTCAGCAACGTATGGAATATTTTTTACAATTTAAGAGGAGGTGACACTTAAATTTTACATTTAAAGAAAAATAAAAGAGAAAATAAATTTGTAAAATATGTTCAAAACAAACATAATTCATATAGAAGTTATTTAAAATGGCTTCTAAACATTTGACAATTTGACAGGACCGGGAGGAATCAAATATTTCATATTTATTAATAGGTGGAGCAATTCTTTAAGAAACAGTTTGTTAATGATAACAAGACTATAAAGTCAAAAAATAGTCTCATATTACTAAAGCATTTAATATTTTTGCACTTGCACTAAAAAAATTTCCGTTAAATTTTATTATAAACATTGTGATTAGGGAAATAAAATATATAAACTTTAATTTGTATTATGTAAATTACATTGATTTATAACTATGAAGGACTAATTAATGTGTTTATTTTGTAATTTAAAATATTTGATGAGCTTACTTTAAAATTTTTGATATTATTCGAGAAAATTATGAATATTTTCTTTGTTTATATTGTTGGTTTGTAAACTAGTGAATTTTTTTATTACTAAATAATGTAAAATGTATTAATTATAATATAACATTTAGAGTTGAATGGATTTGGATCCCCTTTGTCATCTGCTTCACCTATCATTTTAAAACTTATTTATTATTTCAATTAACCTGAAATTAATCTAAACTTTGATGGAAATTTAGAAATGTTTGTTAACTTCTAGGCAACAAAATTAAAAAAAAAACTGAAACTGAGTCCACTAGCCGAGCCCATTTATTACTAATTGGAAATTACCTTTTCCTAATAACAAGTTCGATCGTTTAATTTTCCTTAAAGGTTCGCATATTCGGAATACAAATGGCGCTCGAGATGCGCGCGGCGTACAAATTGCCCCGTCAGAGCGCATATTTTTTCATTAAATCCCGTTCCGCTACCTCGGAAAATTAAGCGTATCCATTTAAAAAAAAAAGAAAAAAAAATGGTTATTAGTATATGATCGGTGTTTATGTGTGACGGTATGAACCAGAGCGCTCGTATAAACATGCAATATTGATCGCTGCCATGTGCAAAGCAGGACGATATTTTACTGCATTTTTCAAATGTCTGCGATCTATGAGCGGGTGTGAAGCTGCGCTTGCTGCCATGAGAACTATAAGCCATTCCCATTATTGCCTCCAAATAATCTATAATTTTCAAAAATTGTTTTTTTTTTATTTCATTTTTTATTTTCATTTCGTTCCCCTCAGCAGTTGCTGAATCCAGCGCTGTCTGTAATCTGTGACATCGTTTTGGAATTTAAAGATTCACACAGAGACCAAAATTATGCTATAATTATTCATGTTTATAACATTTTACCTAGGAAATAAAAATAAAATAAATCTAATATTCGAAGAATATTATGGAATCTAAAATCCTACAATAATTGTATTGTTTGTTATCGAAATGAAATACATTTTTTTCAAAATCCAACAAAATATTTTGAAATTATTTTTAAAAAAATCCTATATGGACCTATCTTAATAATAATAATAATTACTATTTTTAAAACTTCTGGATACCTTCTGCGTTCGTTGTTATTTAACTTGCTGACGTTTCGCCAATCATCCTGTTGGTTTCTTCAGAGCTCGCAGGCTCGCACTTTACTTTGTACCTGCTTATAGATTGTTTTGAGGAGGCGGAAGTACAGAGTAAAATGCGAGAAAGTTTTAGTTAAACTCTGAGGAAGCCAACAGGATGATTGGCGAAACGTCAGCAAGTTCGATTCAACAAAAACCGAAGAGGTTTTGGAAAAAGTATTACAGTACCCTCTGGAAGTTTGTTTGAAAAAAAAAGTATTATAGTAGCCTGTGGAAGTTTCTTTTAGACCTCGAAATAAAGAGGTGGAAAGGAAAAGGATAGAAGCAGCAGGTACCAAAAACATAAATGTGGTTAGCTATTATCTTCATTCGGCTTTAAAGGCCGTCGTCGATTGGAATTACTTCCTAACGTTTCGCTAGCACGAGTGGCGAGCTTCTTCAGAGGTCCTTCCATCTCCGATGTTGGACGTAGACTGACGATTTCTCCTGCGCAGGTTGTATTTATGCCGATTGGTGGAGGGCGGGGCTTGTTCCGCTTCGGTTGGTCTCGGGATATCGATCGGTACTGCTCGGGTGTTCCTAAGGATCGGGTTCCAGATTTGGTTGAGTCTAAGGGTCTCCTCCTTTCGGTTGAAATTGTGAGGGTGTTTTTGAATCTCAATGGCTTCCCTGACTAGTCTGTTGTGATAGCCGTTGACCGATGCTAGTAACTTACAGCTCTCAAAGTGTATCCTGTGTTCCCCGCTGCCCAGTGCGTGTTCAGCCACTGCAGACTTCTCTGTATGTCCTAGCCTGCAGCTTGCTTTATGCTCCTTAAGTCTCGTTCCCATTGATCTCTTGGTAGTTCCGATGTAGACCTTTCCGCATGAACACGGAATGCGGTAGACTCCCGCAGCTGAAAGTGAGCCCCTCTTGTCCTTCGCTGACCTGATGGTCTGCTGGATCTTCTTTGTAGGCTTAAAGATTGTTTTGATGTCGTGTCTTTTCAATACTCTGCCAATCCTGTCGGTGACACTCGGAATATACGGCAGATATGCGTGGGAGGTGGAGGGTCGTTGTTCGGTATCCCGTGATCTTGATGATCTTGAGTTCATTGATCTCTCGATCTCCCTCTTACTGTAGCCATTTGCCTCGAACGCAGTTTTTAGGTGTTCAAGTTCCATCTGGAGGTTCTCCGGTTCGCAAATCCTTCGGGCTCGTTCTGTCAGGGTTCTGATAACCCCATACTTTTGACTTGAGTGATGGTTGGATAGAGCAAGCAGGTATCTGTCCGTATGGGTTGGTTTTCTGTAAACTGTGTGGCCCAGCTTGTTACCTCGCTTCCTCACTAGTACGTCCAAGAATGCAAGTTGTTGGTCATTTTCAGTCTCCATAGTAAACTGGATGCTGGGATGCTGACTGTTGAGATGCTGCAGAAAGTTGTTGAGCTTGTCCATACCATGTTTCCAAATCACGAAGGTGTCATCCACGTACCGGAACCACGTTGCTGGCTTGTATTTTGAGGTCTCGATCGCTTTTTCCTCAAAGTGTTCCATATATAAGTTGGCTATAACCGGGCTTAGTGGGCTTCCCATTGCCACTCCGTCCACCTGTTCGTAGAAGTTTCCCTTCCACACGAAATAGCTACCGGTCAGACAGACTTCAAAAAGTTTGCAAATATCGACAGGAAATATCCTGTTCACCAGGTCCAAGCAACTCTTCAGAGGTACTTTGGTAAACAGTGAGACAACGTCGAAGCTCACAAGGATGTCGTTTTGTTCAATATTGATATCTTGAATCTTGCGCACGAAGTCGGTGGAGTCCTTGATGTAACTGGTGCCGTGTCCTACGTGTGGTTGAAGCAGCGATGCTAAGTGTTTAGCCAAGTAATACGTTGGTGATCCGGGTGCGCTAACTATTGGTCTTAACGGGACATCTACTTTGTGTATCTTAGGTAGTCCATAGAGCCTTGGTGGAATAGTCTCCGTCTTCACAATGTGCTTCTTGATTTCTTCTGACAGTGATGATGACTTGATGAGCCGGTTGGTAAGACGTAGTCTAACTCAACTAACTAACTAAGTTAGACTACGTCTTACCAACCGGCTCATCAAGTCATCATCACTGTCAGAAGAAATCAAGAAGCGCATTGTGAAGACGGAGACTGTTCCACCAAGGCTCTATGGACTACCTAAGATACACAAAGTAGATGTCCCGTTAAGACCAATAGTTAGCGCACCCGGATCACCAACGTATTACTTGGCTAAACACTTAGCATCGCTGCTTCAACCACACGTAGGACACGGCACCAGTTACATCAAGGACTCCACCGACTTCGTGCGCAAGATTCAAGATATCAATATTGAACAAAACGACATCCTTGTGAGCTTCGACGTTGTCTCACTGTTTACCAAAGTACCTCTGAAGAGTTGCTTGGACCTGGTGAACAGGATATTTCCTGTCGATATTTGCAAACTTTTTGAAGTCTGTCTGACCGGTAGCTATTTCGTGTGGAAGGGAAACTTCTACGAACAGGTGGACGGAGTGGCAATGGGAAGCCCACTAAGCCCGGTTATAGCCAACTTATTTATGGAACACTTTGAGGAAAAAGCGATCGAGACCTCAGAGTACAAGCCAGCAACGTGGTTCCGGTACGTGGATGACACCTTCGTGATTTGGAAACATGGTATGGACAAGCTCAACAACTTTCTGCAGCATCTCAACAGTCAGCATCCCAGCATCCAGTTTACTATGGAGACTGAAAATGACCAACAACTTGCATTCTTGGACGTACTAGTGAGGAAGCGAGGTAACAAGCTGGGCCACACAGTTTACAGAAAACCAACCCATACGGACAGATACCTGCATGCTCTATCCAACCATCACTCAAGTCAAAAGTATGGGGTTATCAGAACCCTGACAGAACGAGCCCGAAGGATTTGCGAACCGGAGAACCTCCAGATGGAACTTGAACACCTAAAAACTGCGTTCGAGGCAAATGGCTACAGTAAGAGGGAGATCGAGAGATCAATGAACTCAAGATCATCAAGATCACGGGATACCGAACAACGACCCTCCACCTCCCACGCATATCTGCCGTATATTCCGAGTGTCACCGACAGGATTGGCAGAGTATTGAAAAGACACGACATCAAAACAATCTTTAAGCCTACAAAGAAGATCCAGCAGACCATCAGGTCAGCGAAGGACAAGAGGGGCTCACTTTCAGCTGCGAAAGTCTACCGCATTCCGTGTTCATGCGGAAAGGTCTACATCGGAACTACCAAGAGATCAATGGGAACGAGACTTAAGGAGCATAAAACAAGCTGCAGGCTAGGACATACAGAGAAGTCTGCAGTGGCTGAACACGCACTGGGCAGCGGGGAACACAGGATACACTTTGAGAGCTGTAAGTTACTAGCATCGGTCAACGGCTATCACAACAGACTAGTCAGGGAAGCCATTGAGATTCAAAAACACCCTCACAATTTCAACCGAAAGGAGGAGACCCTTAGACTCAACCAAATCGGGAACCCGATCCTTAGGAACGCCCGAGCAGTACCGATCGATATCCCGAGACCAACCGAAGCGGAACAAGCCCCGCCCTCCACCAATCGGCATAAATACAACCTGCGCAGGAGAAATCGTCAGTCTACGTCCAACATCGGAGATGGAAGGACCTCTGAAGAAGCTCGCCACTCGTGCTAGCGAAACGTTAGGAAGTAATTCCAATCGACGACGGCCTTTAAACCCGAATGAAGATAATAGCTTATCAACGGGCCGCGAAAGCTTTAACCAATTTATAAATGTGGTTGTTGAACCAAAATTATTTTATTTTATTTCATGAGAGACGAAGATAAAATTACCGACAGCGTAAGAAGACTAGTTTTGGTGTATTCTTTCTTTTTGTTTTGAGGTACCGTAAGTGGGCCCTTGTGATGTAAATTTAAACCATGGACACTCTCTCTAAATGAAATTTTCTAGGCATTTTTTTAAAGAATTGTTTAATAAGAAGATGACATATGTAACTTAAATCTATTATGCATATGTAAATTTGGGGCACGACTTTTATATACATCTTTTCTCCACTGAGTGAAGACAGGGGCCAAAGACTGCACAGCAGTGATTTGAGTGAGATAAAAGCAAGGAGTTACAGAGAAGTTTTTTGGTTCATTACTTAAATTACTTTTAATGTACCATATACTCTTTTGACCAACATGTTCTCTAAATCTAGGTTTGCCTGTAACTTTGAAAAATGTAAAGTGTGTAACGAAAAATGAGTTTCCGGATGGCAGACAGAAACAAAGTCATCCGCATCTAACTTTTGATAAAAAATAGGACATAGCAAGAAAACCGTTGAACATAAGTGTAGGCAGAGGCTTAGCCAATTGACGTAGATTTAAAATGACATCCCAATTTACTATAATATAAAGGAGAGCGTATTTCAATTGCAGCTTCGAATATAATGTAAATGGTTAGTAAATTTTGGACACCATCTTAGCAATACAGCGAGTTCAAAATAGTCAAATTCCATTTTTGGAAATGCTCTATATAATTAAAATATTTAAAAAACTATTGGGATTAGGTATACAAAAAATGTAAAGAATCCAAGAATGAAATAATATACCGGGTGTTCAATTCAAAACCAGGAAGTTCGGTGCTCTCAACTATTTTCGTATAAAATTATTCGCAAAAATAAATTATTATGGCGAAGAAAAGTATCTCGTAATGGTATATATTTTAAAGTTGGTTTCTACAGAAGCCAACCATAGAGCATGAAAGATATTTTGTGTATTAAAATTCAAATAAGTTACAGATATCTATCTGGCACACCAATTAGAGTAGCAGAGCATGGCGTGGCAACTTAACACCCTATTCCTTTTATAGCAGCCGGAGGAGCTTCGCGCAAAAAAAAGAAAATCGGAAATGAAGCTCATTTCAAGCGGCTTTGAGATGCACGAAATTTTACAAAAAATGTCAATGAAATGCGCGCGCAACGCAAACTACAGCAGCGGCAACTACACTTTCGATCAAATCGAGTCCTACGGCCTGTAGTTACCTGTTGGGACTGCGTATTAGTTTTTTCGTGCAATTTAGCCACCTAAAAATTAGACTCCAATTAGGCAGTTAATAGGTTCGTTTCAACCGCAGTCAGAAACAGTTTGTCACAGTTACGCGCAATACGGAGCATAAGAGACATCTTGGTTTACTTCGAGAACGTGAAAACGATTCGATATTTTTTATACTTCAGAGTTCCAATCGATTAGGCATTAGCTTAAAAATAAATAAAAATATAACGGGATATTTTTCTCCTATTTGCCGTTCGAATTTTCAAAATTCTTTTAAATCAAATGTAATTCTAATTCATTTTTCACTACATCACTATTTAACCGAGAATACTTTGAATTTAGTATAGTTCTGTTAATTGTTAATCTGTTAATTAATTGATATTTTCAAAAAGTATAGAGGCATAATTTTCTTTTTAAACAACTTTTATTATTCAGTGCACAATGGTTGAAGACAACTCAACGTCTTGTTTGGATATTATTTTTAATAACCTTATGAAGTTCGAGGTTATTAATTTAGATAATGACATATCTGACCACCAGAAAAGTCTATTGGTCTATCTACGCAAAAGATTTAACTCTGAGAAGAAATTGATATTGTTGTTTTATGACTAGCCACCCTCTAGCCTCCCAAGGTTATTCAAATATTCCTAATACCGATGTTAATAATCAATTTTCGGCTTTAATGTGATTATTTGTTCAACATTTAACATGGTTTTCCCCCGAGAAAAATAAAACATAAACCAAATAAAAATTGGGTCAACCGAGGTGATGACAACGTCTTTCTGAACAGTATCCAAGGACATACTGCTCAATTTTGGCAGGTTTAAAGGAAATTTTGCTTAGTGGGATCAATCTGGGATACAATTAATAGAGAATCCAAAGGTGTGAATTCTGACTACCCAATGATGCCACTGAAAGCTATAGCTTACGAACTTGCTGCTTTGTTCAATACATCTATCGAGTCAGGAATTTTTCCTGACTGTTTGAAACTCCAAAACTACCTGTTTCGTTACTATCGGCGGAGATAAACTTCTTGAAAAACTTGTATAGCTTTTGATAGCATCTTGATAAAGTTGGAATTGGAGAACTGGCTTATAGCTAATTTGAAAGCTATTTAACTAATCAGAGCGTATGGTTTTGACTGCTGATAAACTCAATTATCATATAGCAGAGTTGGGTGAGGTTCAATTTGGGGTACTACCGGAATCCATTTTGGGACCCTGCTATTTTTGATTTGCATTTTTATCCTCCAAGACGAGTCAATAATCGGTCTAGAAAATAAAATAAATAGCTGCATCAGAAATTTAGAGGTGTGGCGCTCAGAAAACAAAATAAGAATAAATTTCGACAAATCCCAGATTATAAACCTTCAGCATGCATTCAACCAGGGAAAAACATTTTCTTATAATGTTGGAGTTGTGTTAACTGTAGGAAATTAAAAAAAAAGTACACTTTAATTTTTACTTTGCTTTACTTTTCACTTTACACAGCCTATTGCAATATTCATGAATATCTGCAGGACCATGACTTTGCTGTTTCAAATTAAATTAAAAATTTAAAAATTGAAATTGTAAATTTTATTAATCAATATAGAAACTTACATTTATTCTATACTTTTTTTATATATTAATCTCACTACCTTTTCAACGCATGTATATATGCTTTTTTAAAATAAATTATTCCATTTTATTATACAATTATTTCATTTATAATAGCGTCGAAAACGTTTAGATTTTTTTAAATTTAAGTGAATTTTTAATTTTGTGTAATACTGAATTACACTGGATCTGGATTAGTGGCCAGGATTAACACGATCAAATATATGATAAACTATATAAACCCCTAAAACGTCTTTCTTACCCCTGTTTACAAAAAGGGTATCAATAAATATTGTGACAATTGCGGAAACAAGAACAATAAGCTGAATGAAAAATAAGCTCAATTCAATTCTCCAAATCATTGAGAAAGTATCAGCCTATGATAGTATACTCTACTCTGAGAGGCACTAGATGCGCATAGACCAAGGGATTCAAACAACGATGTTGCTTATCCACCATTTTGTTTAAGATATCTTTCGAACAGGCACTAAAGATATGCGAAAATATGCTACTAGATAATGTGAACCTGTAAACAGATTAAGCTTTGCAGAGGATCCGATCATGATAGCACAAGGGTACGACAGCATATAATACATGACTCAGAAGCTAGACTAGAAGTAAACATCTCAAAGACGACAGCATATGTGTATCGGCGGAGTACTGCATGATGTAAAGTTGAATAACATAAGTCAAATGCTTGGGAATGAATAGAACAGATAGTGGAACCTTAGATTGCGCCATTTGAGATCGGAACACCCAACGCAGGAACATTAGAGCTTGTGGGACCAAGAAATCACAAGACGAAACAAACATCTAACATATAATTCCATCATAAAAAGAACAATCACATATAGTTGTGAAGTTTGGCGACTGAAAGAAAAGATCATAAAATCACTGGTGGCCACAGAGACCGATTTCTAGAGGAGAAGAACGAAACAACTACTTTTTATAAAACTTCTGGATTCTTCCTGCGTCACTTTTTGTTGACTCGAACTAGCTAACGTCTCGCCAATCATCCTGTTGGCTTCTTAAGAGCTTGACTGAAACTGGTTCGCATTTTACTCTGTACCTGCTTTTATATTATTTGAGAAGGGCGGAGCTAAATGAGGGGCATGAGTTGCAGTTAAGATTATTAGGTTTTTCGTTGGTTAGTTTGTTAGTTGAATTGACTACATGAAAGAATTTTAGTTTTATCGAATAAAATTTTATGACCGGTTTCGTGATTGTGTTCGGCAACTGTTGATGAGTTTATTTGTCTTAGTCTTAAGCTCTTTGATGTTCTTTGAGTCTAGTTGATATTTTTCGTCCGGTCTCTCAAATGTAATTTTTGCCTCGTATGCATGGAATCCTATAAACTCCTGACAGCTCAAATGGAATTTTGTCCTTGACGGATCGGATATGTTGAGAGATTTTGGGACAAGTGGTAAATCTGGTTTTGACGTTATATTTCTGTAGAACTTTTGATATGTGGTCAGTGATGTTTTCAATTTAAGGAAGGACAACAGTCCCAAGTGTGGTATTGCTTTCGGTTTCATTGCTATTGGAAGTGTGTGAAGTGTGTGAAGTGTATTTTGTGATGGAACGATTAATATCTTGAATGTGGAAATTATTGGAGAGAAGAGCAGACGTAAGGTGTTTTAATTCTGGGTAAAATGAGTCAGAGTGAGATAGTTTTACGGCTCTGTAAACAACAGAGTTGATAACCGATGATTTTTGGACAGAATAGTGATGTGACATTCATTAAGGTATCGGTCTGTATGCACAGGTTTTCTGTAAACACAATGACTCAATGATAGGTTAGATAAGAATATCTAAGTATGGCAGGTTGTTATTAGTTTCTATTTCAATGGTAAAACGTATGTTAGAATGTATAGAGTTTAAGGATTCCTGACCATGAGGCCAAACAAAAGTATGATCTTCTCAAAGGGTTCGCAAAACATACTTCACGACAACCTTCCAATAGCAATGAATTTGAAAGCAATCCCACACTTGCCATTGTTGTCCTTCCTTATATTCGAAACATCACTGACTACATATCAAAAGTTCTAAAGAAATATAACGTCAGAACCAGATTTACTACTTGTCTCAACATGTTCAAGTCGTCAAGGACAAAATTCCATTTGAGATGTCAGAAGTTTACAGCATTCCATTCCAAAATTATGAACTAGACTCAAAGAACATGAAAGAGCCTTAAAACTAAGACAAATAAACTCATCGGCAAACTAACCAAACACAATCACGAGACCGGACATAAAATTTTATTTGATAAAACAAAAATTCTTTCATGTAATCAATTCTTCTACCAACGAAAAATCCGAGAGTCTATAGAAATCTATACCCAACAAAACAATCTTAACCGCGACTCAGGTGAGACGGTGTTTATATCCCTCATTTAGCTTCGCCCCTCTTAAACAATATAAAAGCAGGTACAGAGTAAAATGCGAACCAGTTTCAGTCAAACTCTGAAGAAGCCAGCAGGATGATTGGCGAAACGTTAGCTAGTTCGAGTCAACAAAAACCGACGCAGGAGGAATCCAGAAGTTTTATAAAAAGTATTAGAGTAGCTTGTGGAAGTTTCTTTGAAAAATTAACGAAACAACTAATGTGGCGATTTCCTAAAATAATGGAGGCCAGCCGCAAGGAGGAGGGGCTGGACAGAAGGTATTCCTAGCGAGATCAGCGAGAGGACTGGAGGAAGACCTGTGAAATGACAGGGATGAATGGCGATTAGAGATCGGAAGATATCGACAGACATTTTAAAACCGATATGTATGTATATAATTTGAAAATTACGAAGTTTCGTCAGTGTCTTCTTGGGAATGTTCGGAGGAGGAAGATTTGGAATGATTATTAGATGATTCGAGATTATTATAAGTGTTTTAACACTAAAATCGCTGTTAAAGCAAGACAAGATTCACATTGATAAAACATCCAACGATTCTAGATTGGCCCATATCGAAAATCTGTCAACAAATATGCTAATTAATTTCGATACATTAAAATCAGTCTATTTCGCTTTATTTCTTACGTTATATCCATTTCTGGTCAGAATACATCCTCTTTTAACATTTCCAAGCTTCAAATAAGGGTTTATTATTTCTTTTAATGGTTAAAGTTCTCGCTAATAAGGATAGTTCCGACTGACAGCATAGACTTTCTCAAGCCTGCTAAGCTACAAAAGGAAGGCGGTAAGTGGCAAGCCCAATTTGAGGAGAAGAAAATACTGAGTGTAAATTTTGCCAGGAAGAGGAGAAAACCACAGACTCAGATAGGATGTGTTCATCTGCTAGACGTTACCAAGTCAGAAGTAACGAACTGCATCATGGAGTAACCATCGATGCTGTGGAGTCTTATGAGATAGACGAATCTAGACAAAGCTCTATACCCACAGAGATAGTCACAATAGATCTTTTGGGTCACGCGCCGTATAGGTCCATTACTAACTCTTGCAATTTGAATTTTGAATATTGAATGGGGTAAAAGACAATTAATACATTTGAACGGCATCTGAAAATGTCTGCTGCTGAATTCTTTTATAATAATATTTGTGTGTTACCCTTTCTTTGTGACATTTATTGTAAAGGATACATTATTACTTTCACTCCTGAGATATACTAATTTATCGGTAAGTTGGTGCAATCAATCTCGATATTTGCATTTTGAGGTTGAAGCGAACCTAATAAATAATTATACTGCCTCGGTTAGTACAGCCTCCGGTACCGAAGTAAGACGGTATATTTTGAGGATTAAAATCGACTCGAACCTTTTTGAAGTATCCGCCGTGGAGTCGCATGTGACCGTTGAGCGCGGGTATATTTTTGAACTTCCGATGGCAGAGGTTGCACTCGACCGGTTTTGGTATCGGTTTGTCGGGGGTGGTGGTGGGTGACATTGTACATGGTGTCGTCGTGGTGACTTTGGATTGCGGGCTCGAGGCGCCCACTGATACCGGTTTCACCGAGCCGCCACATTGCTGAGCCGCCGCTTGCTGAAAATAAAAAGATTCAATTCAGTTCAATGCAATTATATGTTTATAAGGAATTACATTTCAACAAGAAATCCGCATCGGATATTAATATAAACCTTTTTTTAGGTTTATATTATATTATATTATAAATAGTAAACAAACAGAGAAAATTTATTAACGTGGGATTGAAAATATACAGATGCAAATTATAGTAATTGCAAAATATGGTTTTATTTTTACTCGTTTCTTAGAAAGAAGCGGGTCTTTAACCTTCGTCGTACCGCGGTCAAAAAGTTACGCAGAACACCATGTTGGGGTACAATTGTACCCCACTCTAATTTGAACGCTTTGTGATATTTTATGCGACAATTCTCGTATATATACACTGTAACAACAAAATTAAATAGTTAATGTAAATAAAATATGTATAACGCATATTATATTTATTGAAAAAGTTGAACAATTCTCAAAAATGTTAAAAAAAAGTTAGACGAACTCCTCTACTCATATTAATTCATATGTTTTTCAGTACATAATCTGCAAATAATCTGTTTTACACTATGGTCTGTGCATGTAAATTTTTTGTAGTCCCAACATTGTTGCCTGGACTTTTTCGGAATGGATTTCATGGTGCTTTTCCAATTCTGGAAACATTTATAGCACATATGATTTGACCCTGTTGGGAATTTTTGGTTCTGTTTTAAATAATCTTATGACGTTTTCCCTCCTCAATGACTCTCCTAAGTCCAAAAGAAATTTGCTTCTGCTGTCTTTGCTTTTTAATTCTTCGTCTGGAAATTTTTCACTCCATAAAATAAATGCATTTAGTGCCGTGATGTCTAATAGCTATCCAAAAATTACCATCGGCCATCTATTACTAATTCGACGAGCTGAATATTCTTTTACCATTTTATCGGTAGTGTCTACAGCACCTTTTGTTTTATTATAATTAAGTCAGGCTTGTACTTCATATTTTCTGCCGCAACAGAATCATCATGATGCTACGTAGACAACATAAGGAAAGCCTTATTCTTGCTAGGCACATAGGACACAATTGTATGTTGTTTCCCAAAACCAAACATTGACGAAAAAATGAGTTTATAAGGTTTTGGCAAGAGTTCTTCGGGAGCATAAGATTTGACTCATTTGTTTCAATAATAGTTGATATGCTACGGACAAACTGGTAAAGAATTTATCTGTGGTTATGCCGTATCCGGTTCCTAGATCTCCGAGAAGATCGAAGACGACTTTTTCGCCTTGATTCTTTTCTGCTGTATTACTAATTTTTCCCAAGTTTGGTTGTATATTTATAGTGTATGAATTTTCACTATCTGCTGCCGCCCAAATTTTCAGACCATATTTATCTGATTTACTTTTCATAGAAACTCTAAATGAACAACGACCTCTAAATCCAACTAGTTGCTCATCTATTGTAATATGGCTTCCGGGATTATAACACTTTTTGAAACTGTCCACAAACATGTTGAAAACTTCTCTGACCGGTGCAAGCTTATCAGTTTTCTTTCTGACTTCCCTTGTTTTTGGATCGTCAAAACGAAAAAAACTCGTCGACAATTAAAAACGTGAGCGAGACATAGTTGCAGGAATAACTGGTCTAGTGTAACCTCTCTTGGTACACCACAACATTACTATCGGTTCTTTTGAAGCTTGAAGGGCAACTAACATGAAAATGAGGTCAATGTATGCCTTTATTTAAACAGCATCTGCTGGTTTCCATATGCGTTGTAGAGGTTGTTTTTGATTTGGATGTTTTCATTCCAAAGTTTGAAAGTCTGAAAAATTGGACATTATTAGTGAATAATGCCGTATATAATTCGATAACTTTACCTGTTCTGCCTTATTATTAGTATGCCGGACAATTATTTCTATAATTTTATCTGTCAGAAACAGTCTAAATGAATCAATTTTTGAAGCAATATTGGTGCTGTGTTGATTTAGTCAAGGCTTTTTCCTAATTATGTTTGCAACTGTTCGTCGTTTTTGTCTAAGTGGCATTTTATACCATTTTGTGATATCTTTGGTTCTATAAAATAATCTATCTTCTTCTGAGATTTCTTCAGTATCGTTAGTCTCTATTACAATGCTAACATCACATCTTCAGACACTAGTTCACTCATTAGAGCAGCACCACAGCATCATCGAGACCGCTATTCAGTAATTGTTCTAACTCTAAATCGGTTATTTTATTTTAGCGTTATGATTTCAAAAATCAAAAATGTCTGACACCAACTGATTTTTAATGTATTGCGCATGACCGTGACTAATGAGTGACAAAATGAGTATCTTGGCATATCATGCATTAAAAATATTTTTTTTTACTTTTTTGATGCATGTCATAATTAAAATATATAGAAAATGAATCTGTAAATACTAAACGACATTAAATAAAATTGCGGAAATCTTGTGTAAAGTTTTTAAAAAGATATAAGAAAAATTGAGTTGTTGGGATATAATTGTACCCCACACGGTACGACGAAGGGTATAATGCGTAAATAAACAAAATATGCATTTTTTCATATAATAGAAAATTTATTGCATTTTATTGCTGCACTTGTGTATTGGTTTAGTACATTACTATGGGGCAGACTCAGGTAAATACTTTGCTGCTTTCTTATATATAAATTAATTCATAGAATTTCCCAGGATAAATCCACACTATTGGGTTTTGCAGTAAAAGCAAAGGATTCTTTAACAAACTTACGTTTATAACCACTACTGCACCACAACTTTTTTAGAACACCCGACACGTGTTTCGCCAACCATCGGCAGATGATATAACCTTTTTATATCATCATCATTTTATATCATCTGCCGATGATGCCAACTTGGTTGGCGAAACACGTGTCCGGTGTTCTAAAAAAAGTTGTGGTGCAGTAGTGGTTAGAAACGTAAGTTTGTTGATCTTCCACCACAGGTTCCGGTCTCCCCGGGGAAAAGGATTCTTTGTTAAATTAATGAAATAATCATTTCTTCCAACCGCAGGCAGAAACCGGTTTGGAGCAGTAAATTTCTCTCAACCATCTGTTTTTTTGATACGATAAATGTTTTTTTGCTGACAAAAATCAGTTGAATGGGAGGAATTTACATTCTATGCCGTTTTCTGACTGTGGTTGGCACAAAGCTAATATTACAAACAGAATCCGATAGTTCACAAGGGGAACCATTTTTGTATGATATAATCTACTTAAAACGTTGTTGTGTGCAAGTGAATTGTGTCTGCGTTTGTCTGTGCAGTGTCAAAAATCAAATCCGAAAACTGACTTCCATATGTTGTGGATAAAGAGCTATCCGGAGTACGCTGGGGATGGCACCAATTTTTATAGCTTGTATAGTATTTTTCAGTAAATAGTAAAGAGATGTATATAGTAAAGAAAAACATATGTTTTTTTGTATAATAGGAAATTTTGGCAAGTCGTAAATTACGTATTCAAGTGGTTAATATTAGCAATTTGAAAGTATTTATAAATTTTTTCTACTCAATTATTTCATAATAAAAAAAGAAAGATATATTATGGTCTTTTGTATAAGGAGATTGCTGCTTTTATAAACTACAACAAGAACAACCAAGAAATAGCGAACAGCCCAGTTCAATGAGGAATTATGTAAGTCAATGGAGTCAATATATCACCTAAAAAACTCCCCAAGTCAAGAGCATTTAACATACCGGACGAGTTATCAACTCTCTTGTTTACAGATCCGTGAAACTATCTCAACCCGGGTCACTATACCCAGATTTAAAACACTATACATCTGCTCTTCTCTCTAATAATTTTCATATTAGATATGTTAACCGTTCCATCACAAAATACGCTTCACCACAACCTTCTAAAGAGAATGAGTCCGAAAGCCCACACTTGCCGCTGTTGTCCTTCCTTACAACGTTAGAACGTTAAAACCAGATTTATCACTTGTCCAAAAATTTCTCAACATCTTTGATCCGTCAAAGACTAAGAGTATACTTATAATAAACAAGACGAAAAATATCAATTAAGCTCAAAGAACATAAAAGAGTCTTAAAACAAATAAACTCATCAGCAGTTCAAGAGGAAATCTGTAAACAACCAAACAATCTTAACCGCGACTCAGATCTTTGCTTTCCATCCTTCTTTAGCCCCTCCTCCTTCAAATAAACAAGTAGCAGATTAGAATGCGAGTCAGAAGCCAATACGATACAATTGGCGAAAATTCAGTAAGTATATTTCAAAAAAGACAAATTTTATGTTACAAATGTCAATCATTTATTTTTATCTTATTTTTGGATTTCCTTGAGTTTTCTACATACTTAAACAGTGTGTCCAAGATAAGGACGTCTATCATCAGTAAGGTTGTGGAACAGATAGGTCAATTGACCGAAACAATTTTTAAAATGCAATGAAATTTATATTCGTAATCGGGTATCCTTAGAAGAGGATTGATTATAAGTAAATTGGACATCACAAACGCTTAATAATTTATTATAAAATACATATTATTATTAAATAATAATATATAACATTATACGATTGCTATTTAAAACATTTTAATCGATTTGGACTGGTCAATTAAGAAGTGGTCAGTTGTCGGTGAATTGACCAGTCCTAACACTATTCATGAGGATATTGGAAACAATACGAATATGGTTAAATTAGAAAGAAGTTGCAAAATTTAAAGGTTAATCACGGGCTTTTGAGAAAACTAAAAAATTCCTAATGCTTTTGCGTAGCAGGCGGTGACATCATAAACAGAAAAAAAATAAAATGATAGCTAAGTAGGTAGATCATGTGGTATATATATATATATATATATATATATATATATATATATATATATATATATATATATATATATATATATATCTACCGCATGATCTACCTACCTAATAGTCTTAAACAGAAAGGAGGGTAAATATGCAAAAGTTAAAATAAATAGCAAAGTATTAAAAATATATGAAATACTTAATAAAAGCTGTAGGTTTTTGTAAGATCTTTCAGAACAAATAATAATGTATATAATCTAAATGT